GGGGTGCATACTACAGTATACGTAGCACAAAGAAACCCCATCACTAGTGTATGTAACTGCGAAGGCACCCGCATGATAAAGCCCGATAGAAACCCGAGTGGCGCAAATGAGAACACACCATCTCCAATTCAGCGAGCGAGCGCCTCAGATCTTCGCAACTGCATGGCTTGTCCGTTGCAAGACCAAGGCTTGACAGGACGTTAAGGCTCTGAGTTTTAGCGCTTCAGGGTTTTGGGTTTGGTTTGGGTTTGAGGCTTATGAACATCCACATGAAGAAGAATGCTAGGTCAGCCTTCTGCCATCATGAACTATAATAATTATGAATGCTTATCGTCAATCATTTAACTAGCTATACTCTTAACTGTACTGACCGTGGCTATATTGCCTACGCGATCCTGCGGCATGCCCTCTAATAGTCTAGTCTTTCCAATCGGACTGCTGTCGGGCCCAATGCGCAGGCAAAATGCCTTCCACTCTGAACTCTTAGCTCCAAGGTAGGACCTGAAACACTTGAACCCCCCTCCCTCAACATTGAAAGCTTAACACTTGACAATGCTTTGGATACTGCATACTCCCTTTTGGCTTATATCAGACGAGACTAAGGGAGCCCCCCCGTTGTTCCAGGTGCGCCCTTCTTCGAGGCATCCTTTCTACGCCAATTAGCCACAGAAGTAAAAGGCTAAACTTTCCGATTCCTACTAAACTTAAACTATAAGACTATAATATTATAAGAGCCCAAAAAGTTCAAAGGCTAGGTCTATCGAAGCATCTCCTGGTCCAAGCCGGGAGGCTGCCCAGCCACTCCGCCAACGCCAGCACGGGCTGGCACAAAGTGGATGCCTCCCGAAAGCAGGCAGACGACTGCGGGGCATGGAGTTAGGGTTTGGGGTTCGCGACTTTTTCGGCCTTTTCTTGGGAGGCTAAGCTCTTGTGCGGTCTGGTGGGGCTCTCGGTTGCGGGCCGGGGGCTCTCTTGAAGGCACGTATTCGAATACGAAACGCAATAGCTCGACAAAGCGATTGCAGTTTGGAATACACTGACAGCTGCGATCCCAACACCCTGCTGGGATCTGGGATCCTGTAACATAGACGTCGGAATCTTCATAACATTATTCCGAAGTCGTCGGGTGCTTCGCTATTGCCAGAACCTCTGGAGGGAGACCTGTATTCCTCCGTCGCCAAGGGCACCCTGCCTTCGGCATCGCCTCCTGTTCAGGTGACGCCGAGGCAAAACCGGAGACACCCTTAAGGGTGCCCCCCTTGGAATAGAAGCATAAATGCTGCGGTCCATGAATTAGGGTTACGGTGCAAAAGGGCGTCGGGGTATAGGATTTCGGGCTTGTGGATTTCTTATTCCGCGGGGCCTCGTACCCCCACGCCAAATCCCTCAACCCCACAGCCCCAACCACTCCAAACCGAGAACCCAAAACCGAAAAGCTCCAAGTTCCGGGGTCAAAGCTTGGACATCTGCGGCCGCTGGGCCATTACTAAGCCGTCGGTGTATGTACAGATAGATTTGATAGATAAGCTTAAACAGATAGATAGATAGATGTATAGATGTCTCGACACACACACACACACACAGGTCAAAACGGGAGGTCACAAAACACACCCCATGGAAGCACGATGAACTTTACACATCCGGAACTAGTGAAGTTACCGATGGTCGTTAAAATCATCCAGCTGCTGCGACCATTACAGTTGATACTTCTGGCTGCTATCATGCTGCCCTATACCCTATCCCTAAACCCTACAAACTATGGACCCCAAATCAAAGATGTGGCCCTAAACCCTTCCGAAATGGGCTTTGCAGAATTCGGGCCTCAAGAGCCCAAGAGCAACCAGCAGGCAGAGCAGGCAGCATCAAGTTGTTGTTGATTAAGTGTAAAATCTTTAGGAGGCTGTGCTTGATTGTGTTTGTGTGTGTGTGTTTTGTGAAGCATTCTAGCCCTGAGACTCAGAAACTGATTTGGGGCCACTTCGGGTCATACAACGCATCCTGGAAATGGTATGGGACCTACAGTTTCATAAAATCATCTGCGATGCGGTTGCGAGAAGAATGCCTGGAGCAAGAAGCCCGACAAGATTTCTCGATGGGTGCCTTGTGCTCCCAAGGAGCATCGTAGACACCATAGACAAGCCTTCCCACCAAAAACTCCGTTCTCACCCCAAAGCCACACTTCGTTTCGAGCCCAAGTTCTGAACAAATGCCCTGGGATTAAACCCGAAACACGGGGCCTTGATAGTTGGAATAGGGTGTCGGGGTAGTAGCAGGGACTACCATAAGGGAATACTACTGAGGATCCCGGTCCCTGCGTGAAGATCCCCTTGGCAGGCGCACTGTCCGCGGCACCTGCGATGCTGGCCAATGAGACCTGAGCCAGCCAGGGAAGGAGGGTGCGAAGAGCTGTAACATGGTGCTGCTTGGGGTTCAGGATTTGGTTCAAGGGTGAGGTTCGGTGTCTAGCATCTACGACTGAAAGCTGCAAAAACCACATATCCGAGACCCTGAAAGCAAATTCGCTGTACTTGACTGGACACCGTAATGATTGCGACGCAATGAAATCTGACGTCTTATCCTTTTATGACTGTACGGCTCCGGCAAAGCTATACCGATGCAATGTCAGGATCCTCCTAAGCCGTTCGACTGGACTCTCAACCACCAGAGCCATCACCAAAGCTACAACTTGCAACCGCTATTTGCACAAGGACCCGTGGTTAGACGACCGGCATGTGCTTGGATGCTACTGTCATGGTGGCCAGGGAGGGCTGCCTGGAACAACGGCTACAACGGCTGCCAACAACCTTGAACCGCAGTCTCACACCGGCAACAGCTTGCAGCATCAACATGCAGCCGGCGGTTTCGGCACTGATGACCTTGAGGCCAAGAACACAAAGCACTGAACAAGGAACGCGGCTTCCCAGACAAGGCTCATAACCCAAGGTCCGACAGGCCGGTACCCAAGCCCTCGTGCCGGTGCTACGCTGCCCGGGCATCCCGGCCAGAAGAGCTAACACTCGAAGCTGCATGGTTTACCAGGTACGGGAAACGCACACCTGCCAGCTGCGGAGTGACAGCTTTTGCTCGGTGATGGTTAGGATGGAGGTGTTAGGCCCCAAGAAATGGTACTGTACTGTTGCTAATGATGCTTCTGGCTTTTACATGGTGCTGCTGTTGCATCAAAGCACGGTGTTACGCCACCGCGGCAGCTACTGCCGCGGCGACCGCCATTGGCGCTGCGGCTGCTAACACCACCACCACCACGACTACGACTAGGACTACCACTGCGGCGACGGCTACCACTACTACCACAATTAAACGATAACAACTCACAAGACTGAACCTACTTTCCCAGGCAATAACTTGGATGATGACAATGACGATGCTGACGATTGCGATTCCAATGCCGATGATGACGATGATGAAGAAGCCCACTTGCTGATGGTGCTGGTGCTGCTCCTGCTATGGTGGTGCTGATTCTGACGAAGGTGATGGCCGCTGCGGCAACGGTGATACCGATGACAACAATGTGTAATTGTGAGACCATCTCACAGGAAAACAAGCAAAACGTTCATTTACTTGTATGTGCAGCTTCTCGGGTTTTTCCCCCTGTATCCGTCTTCAGTCATAGCGGCCGTGACAACAGACGATGTACAACCTAGCAAGACGCGCACCATGACTTTTTTGCGGTCCCAGCAAGTCAAGAGCCAAACTTGTGCCATCCAAGTACTAGGATGGGCCCGAACACTTGGAATAGGGTCTGTGGTATATCATTCCAGGAGCCCGAAGGGATAGTATTGCTAACTACTCGGGCTTCCACAATAGCTTTCGATATGTTCGTTTCGTCTAGTGCGGAACCTCCGAACTCAAACGCGGGCTGCAGGCCTTCAACGTCCCGTTATAAAGCCCCACTATGACTGTAGCATCACCTACGCCGAATACCCCTGGGACCCCCCCTAAACCCTAAACCCCAAACCCCTAAACATCTCCTAAACCCTAAACCCCTAAACACATCCCTAAACCCTAAACCCCTAAAAACACCCCTAAACCCTAAACCCCTAAACCCAAAAGCTGAAACCCGAAGCTCCGAAAGGACAGAAGAGGGCCACTCCGAGAGTGCCTCGACTTGCGAGGGGGCGAAAGAAAGGCCCGGAGGCTGAGCCGAAAGTTCACGGTTCATGTGGGTGGTTGTCAAAATTATGGTCCCTTTTTGGGTCCCTAATATAATACGGCACCTAATATTTAGGGTACCCCAAAAAGGGACCCTGATTGTGACAACTACCCATGTAGAGGCCTTAATGATTAGAATAGGGTTTTCGGCTCAATGACAATCTAAGTATAGAAATAAGGAAGGCGTAGCATGGGCTGAGGCTTGGGAGCTTGCTGCGCAGAGGTGTAATGGTCTTCGGGTGACGGGTTTCTCCTTCGTGTGCCTGTTGTGGTCAGCATTGTTGTCGTGAGTATCGCCCCTGTTCTACTTCAACAACTGGTTGAAACCTGTTATATCTGCTCTTACACTGCTGGATGTCACGTTTTGAACACTGATATGGGTTCCACTGTCAGTAGTGCTTCCGCTTGAACTGGTGCTGCTCCTGGCACGTGGAGTTTAGCTTCACTGCTAATGGTTCTGATGCTAGAGACCTTCTCAGTCTCCTAAGTGTGCCTATCATATGTACCATCACAATGACAACTCTGACTTTTGACCCCTGATCTACTGAAGAGCCTTCAATTTCAGGCACTGTCGCATGAACCTTGCTGGGGCATGTGGGCTATCAACCCCGCGGAGTACATAGAAGGACTACGTAAGCTGAAATGACGGGAAAGCAAGATCTCAATGTATGGTTTTTTAGGCCTTCAGGGTACAGGTGTACGTAGTATGTAGAAACCTACGGCCTATACCCTTTGGGGGGAGCTTGAAGTCTAGGGATGACTCTGGCTTTACGGCATGGGGTTTGGGGCTTCAGGGCTTCAAGGCTTCAGGTCGCGCCGCTTCTTTTCCGTCATTGGCAGCTAAGGCCGTGTGAAGTACCACGCCCACCTCGGGGTCAACTGTCAGGACGGAGATGGGCCTACACCCGGACTCCAAAGCCCCAAAACTCCGCTCTCTTCCGAGCATGTCTCCCCAAATCCTTCAAGATGCCTCAAGCCTCAATGCGTCTACTTCTTGCTCTCGGCACCGCCACACCGACGTTCAGCGAGTCCACGCCGGGAGCCATGGGAATCTGAAGTTGCCTCGAGGCAGGGCTCGAGATTGCTTCACATTGGGTACTTGGAGGATCATGGGACTTTGTAAGTAGGGTTATAAGTACCTTAATTGGGGCGTGTTATAAGTATTTATAAGTACAGTTACCTTAATTATAATACTAGTTACAAAGTCCCATGATCCTTTAAGTATTGGGTATCGCATGCTCCAGATGCCCTGTACCCCGAACCCGGAAATCTGCTTCGACCCCCAAGTACACTCTGTTCGACCCCCCTCGCACCACTCCCAAACACCATGATTTGCAGCGAGTGAAGCTGCCATATTTTGGGTCTGAATATTCTTCCTGGGGTTTCACCCTCTCGTTTCTTCTTTGTCGATAGGTAGAGATAGCAGGCAGATGGATATAAGGATTGTGAGAGGATGTAATTCGAAGGAGCTTTGCTGAGTGCCCCGACTCAACAGGGCTTGTAAGCGTGGCATTGCTATGTATGCCGACCGGGGCAAAAAGGGCGCTTGCCCAGCCGCCAAGCGAGAACCCCAACATGGATGCCTTCATCATGAGAATGTAGGACTTCGGGGATTATAACACTAAATTCAACCGGAGAGATCAGGAAAGGTATGGGTAACTGTTCATTCGTCCCATACTGCAGCCTGACATCCAGTCTTCGGAATTTCGACCCCGGCAGGTCTAAACCACGATCCCACAAGCTCCCTTTGAGTAGAATGCCTTACATCATATTCCCGAATTTAAAGGGCCCTTAAGAATCACCCTATTTTTTGGCGTGTGGTATCCCTCGTAACAATCACTTCTGAGGCTCGGAAGCTCTAATGCCCTGGCTGCGCCTGTCTGCCATGTGGATCACGCCGTCGGAGACGCCACGGGCTTCGTTCCCAAATCTCAGCAGGTGCTGTGACTCAGGGAAGGACGGAATCGGACGTAGTAAGAGTAAGTAGAGCTATCAAGACTAGCCGTGAGGGATCATAGGAAACAGAAATTTGGGGTTACAAGGCTTGAAAAGTCACAGATAGTCACAGAGCCTTCAAGTAGGGTTGAAGGTTTTGATGGTTATGGGTCTGGGAATCCCAGCAGCGTGCGGGTTTGAAGCGTTTAAAGGTGTGGGACTTTGCTGCGGTTCAAGGTATAGCATCGGCTTTTGGTGGGTATCTTCTCACATCGCTATGTTTCATGTGGTGATTATGCTTGTTTGTTCATAGCTACTCATACAATCCTTGCAATTTAGCACAAGCCTGGCCGAGTGTCACGAAGGCATCTCTTCCCGTCAGTTCTGCCGCGAGCTGCGTGGAGAGACAGCGCCCCTCTACGTGTCGGGTTGTTTTGCTACCGGGTCCCACTTTCAGGCTTCAGTCTGGAACAGGGAAGCCGCTGCGTGTTAGCGGGGGGGGGAATTGGCAGGGTTCGGGTCTTGCAGCAAGCATTCAAGGTTTTGTACTTGATGTTTGGGTTCAGTCTAGTTGTGATTATAGAGACCGGGACCCGCAATTGGACTACGCAACACTCAAGTTAAGGGAGCCTGAGCTCCTCTTCCCAATGCACTCCGCCAAAGTTGCTTGCTCCTATACAAGTGAGGCCTCGGGCTTTGGGGGTTAGGAGATGCCTTAAAAGCCCTCGCTAGAAACTGCCCCCCGAATTGGTTCTGGGCTCCTAAGACTCGCACAACCGAACCTGGACAGACCCAATGTGGGCCTTCCACAAAACAACTAGCAGAAGCGTACTTAGGAAGTCACGACGCCTTCGCAAGAGGTAGCACGGGAGCGCGTGGACTTTGGGAGTTTCGTTTTGAATCGGTCCTAAAACTTCAAGTAGGATTGCAGGTACAGTGCATCATAGCTGTCATAGCTATGCAGGGACGGGATGACCGTGCATCTGTGACGCATGGTACTTGTGTAGATGTCCACGCACATCATGCTAAGCATTTAGGGCCCTTGGGGCTCAGGCTAGTTGGGCTTCTTCCAGGTTGCCAAAACAACCCTCAGCAACAACCCTCCACAAACCCCAAAAGCCTGAGGCACAATCTGCGGACCTGCGACCCTACTCCCCCGAAGCACATGAAGCAAAAAGACAAGGCCCACATGCCCAAAGTCAACATCCTAGCACCCAATGGCCCCCAAGGCCCTGAAGAGCCACGAATTCCAGCGCCAACCCTGAAGCCGCAATCCGAGAATCCTCAAGCCCACGCAAGTCAAGCCTCCGCCACCAAAAATGAAGAGAAGACAAGGGGAAATAGGCTTCTGCATAGTATACTAACTATTCCGACCCACAGCTTGACAGATTTCTTGCCTCCAGCGTTGTCGCGAAGATCCGGTAGCCCTGAAGTAGCTGCCGAAGCTCCTCCCGAGCTGAGAATTCAAGGGGTCTTTGTCTCTTGGTGTTAGGCTTACGGCTCTGGGGTTGTACTTGTAGGTGGCTTATAGGGCTTTAGAGATTAGGGAAGAGGGTCAAAAGACTTGAAGGTGTTTTCACGGTTTTGGGAGTGGGGTTGCGGGCTGCGGAGATTCTCCTACCACGCTCCTACACGTGTCTTAGAGGATTCCAGAGTCTCTTGTAGATTTTTTTGGCAGATACCAGTATACATGGACTTCGCTGAAACAGAAGCTCCAGCCCAAAAACCGCGGAGACCGAAGCGCTATGGACTTCCGTCGGTTGCACTTTGTCCTTTGTTTCAAGGGCACGGCATACTTCAAACTTCGCCTTTCTTACTGCCCGAGCCCATGTCAGCGAGACTTCAAGTCCCGCAAATTCCAGAGGAGCACCCTGAACCCAAAAGAATCTAGGGTTTGCAGGGTTTAGGGTTTAGGGAATCTACAAGACAAACCTGTGCAAAATTGGACGGAAACCTCGTTTAACGCTTTGACTCAGCCCCACGGCTCCCAAGTGTCACGCCGTTAGGAGTATCATGTCATAGGGTTCTTTTTTGAGGCTTAGGGCCTAGGGTTAATTGCATTTCCTTCGAAGATACCTGACGAGTGCGCGACGGAGCTTGCGACAATAAGTCTCCTAGCCACGGGGACTGAGCTCTTAAAAACCCTGCACCCAAAATTTTGAAGCGCAATTTCGCCCAGTTTGGGCTCGTTTCTGTACGTGCGCTGGGTCCTCTCTCTTGCAATGCTGCTGCGGATCACGCACTAACAACCGCTCTTCGACTAGACTTCCGTAAGTGCCTTACAGACGCCCGTGAACAGTCCTGATCTTGTGGGGCCGTTGTACAGAGATGCAATGTCGGCCAGCCCCCCAAACGCCATCTGAGTAGGGTACTTTGCCTTCCATTTCTGAGCAAGATGACCTTCCAAAGCGGAGTAGCAGCACATGAAGAGAATCCGCTGAGTAGTCTGGGCCTTCATGGTTTCCAGCATCTCCAGAGCTTTCTTGGCTGTCGATCTCTGGCCTTGGTTGTTGGTGAGATCCGCGTTGTCCTTGCCACCGTGGCCAAACACGATGACCACATCTTCTTCAGAGCACGTGTAGTTGTCGCTGCTGTGGACAATCTTGATCTCTTTGACCTCCGCTGAGACATTTTCTGGAAGGCTCTTCTTCGATGAGTCTGCCAGATCCCTTTGAAAGGTGCTGGACATCTGATCCAGGTCACAGTTCTCGTCAGCTTCGAAAGGGATAAATATGATCAAGTTCACCATGGCAGCGACTGAAACATAAATCCCTGTCCGCTACCCCCTCGTAGACCTTAAACTCCAGACGCCTACACCTTCAACTCCAAGGTCGGAACCCGGTTTAGAGTCTAGAGAAGATAGCGACACCTTCCGTGGCGCATGGAATGTAGATTTCTTGGAACAAACTTGCAGGCACAGAGTGCCATTCATTCATGTCTCATTGTCTACCAGCTAGCTAAGATGTCTTGAGGCTAACGATTTTGCGAAGTGGCATACACGGCACCATCCAGATACCCTATCAGCACCGTTCATATGACCATTTCGCATGGCAGAGGCAATCCAACACATCCAAAAACGCCGACCATACAACACCAAACAGTACACCAAGTCACACTTCCGGCTTCAATGCACCCCAAGCCCCTGAAGCTATACAGCCCAAATTGCCCGAAAACCTCGAGGAGCACAAACGATCTTTAGTACGGAAGAGAACAACGGAGGAATCCCCGAAGCAAGTGAGATGTCAGGATAAGGGACTCTAATGTATCCTAATGTCCTTGATACATAATCCTTGATTGAAGGACCATCCACCCCTCCCCCGAGAAACAAGATACCCTTCATCATAGAAGATACAACCCGTTTGCAGCTCTTTAAAGCCAACCAAATCCCTACAAAGCGATAATCTTGGTGCTACATATGACAAGATACCTATATCGGGACTGCAAGGCCCCGGAATTCAGACTCTGCTACTGTAGGGGCCTTATCAAAATTAGAACAGGCTTTCGTTACACACTAAACAATAATAAAGTAGCATTGGTAGCTATTTAGGCCCCTATAGTAGCACACCCTCTGTGTCGGCCTCAGCAGCTGCAACCTCCAGGACGTCGATGCGACCCCGCACCTGAAATCGAAAAAGAGTTCGGGGCTTCTCTTGAGGCTTGAAAAGGTGGGGGCCCGTTGGAACAGGGCCTTGGGGGTACACGACCCCACCCCCTAGATCCGACTGAGCAGACGATCTCATGCTGAAACTTCGAGGAGCACGTTTTCGTGGAGTCGTCATAGAAGGCTTGGGGTTTGGAGATCCATTTCAGGGATCAAGCATTCGAGGCAAGGGTTCCCCAGTATAAGCAAAGGCTACATGGCGTTGCAGAGTCATCCGCTCCAGAGACAAAGAGAGGACATATGGGTGGTTGTGAAAATTATGGTCCCCTTTTTGGGTTCTTAGTATAATACGGCACCTAATATTTAGGGTACTCAAAAAGGGACCAGAATTTTGACAACTACCCATATAGGAGGCGAAGCATGTGGGCCGAAAGCTCGAGTCAAGGCTGGAAGATGCGGCAAAAGGCAAAAAACTTTCAGCCCGAAATTGCTTCGCCCTCAACGCCTTACAGAGTTGGTTTTTCCTCCTGCGTGCAGTTGGAAAACAGTGCAAGGATCGTTCAGTTCGTGGTGCTTGAAAAATCTGCAACGCGCTGGTAGTTCTACGAACCTGCAGCTGTTGCGACGGCACTGACAGATTCACCGTGTCGTTGTTGCTTGAAAACCACGAATTTTCATGCACCATCTAGGCTTCGACAAGGCTGGCCAGGCCATGCATTGTCAGTGACAGACTGATTCAAAAGCACTCAGCAAGCCTATACAACACCGCCAGAACGAAAACTCCGGCAGAGGAGATGCTGTAGCTGGCATCACTTGAAGAGCCTGTTGCCGTCCCGCTCATAATATCATCTGCTGCTCGCTGGCCGGATGCGTAAGCTCCGTGCACGGTAGCAGCCCAGGTAGGATGGGTGTGTTCTCCAGCAAGTGTGAGGGAAGCACTTACGGCCCCGCTGAGAATCCCCATCTCATCCATCCTGGCATTGAGACCTGCAGGAGTGGTGTAGCTTCCGTGCGCGAAGGGGTCGGAACCCCACTTCGTTCGCATGAAGTAGGTGGGGTTGGGAGCGTTCGGAAACTGCTGCCGGATCCTGGACATGAAGTCAGCCTGCACTTGCGCATCTGTCTTCTGCTCCGAAGCGATGGCATATCTTCCAACCGCGAAGCCCAGCAAAGCATTCGTTCCGGGCCAGTGTTTGTTGGTGTTCATGAAGTAAGGAAACATGCCTCGACTGTCAATGTTGGCATTCTGCTGGTTGATTGCAAGCATCAACTCGTTGCCACACCCCGAAGACCAGAAGTCCGTGTCGAAAACGGCCACGGCTTTGTTGACGACACCGAACCTCACGAGGTCCAGGTCTTCTCTCTTACTCCTAACAAAACCTTCTGGGTCTCTAGCTGCACGCCATACGCATGCATGCATATGTGTGTAGGAAGCACAATACATTTAGGCCTCCACGTCGGTGTCGATTTACATATTCAACCTCTACGCACGTCTCAACTCATCCTTCTTTGCATGTCCATGTAGAGTCTCTATACCCATAGGCTCCATAGTAGTTCCTTTTCGGGGTTCACATGTAGACTCCTATAAAGTGATCCCAAAAAGGAACTACTATGGAGCCTAGGGGTCGGTATATACCGTATACCCCAACCCGAAGGCAGAAGATTAAAAGTCTGTGCCGAACGGATCCGGAGACTGCATGCGCCCAATCGCGTTTGCGTGAGAAGCCGGGAGCGGCGGGGTGAACTTCACTTTATCCTGACTTTAATAAAGACTTCACAGAAGTATCATAGATCCCAAGTAGGAATTAGGATCCCTTTGAAGGTACTTATAAGTATCGTAACCCCAAATAGGATCACCTACTTTATCTGCTCCGAATTCTCTGTCAGAAAGAACTAAAAGTTGCTTGGCTGGACTGCTCAGTGTCCGCTTGCAACACGCCCAGAGGCACTGCAACAATCCTTGGTCGCGACGTAGCTGTCATGAGGGAACCCCACTCCGAGATTCAAAAGAGCGTCACAGGACTATCCAGACATTTAGACAGGGTTGGCTTGAAGCTTGGAAGCGGCTTGGTGCCCAGGAGGAATGTGCATATGGGGGTTTGCCGTAAGTTAGGGTATCAGGAAGATAAGCGTAATTACTCCATCGGGGAACTACCATAGCTACAGATTTCAGGTCTGCCTCAGTTACGAAACGAGATTCACCGCGTCCGCCGAATACTCTGAGACAGCAGTACCTCCAGTTTCCACGGCGGAAACCTTCGCCGCGCAGGCTGGGACGACACCATCTTGCTTGAAGCCGGTGCAGTAGCTCACCTGTGGAGATCAGCAGTCCGGTGTCGAAACTCGGTTCCCACTTCATCGACGCCAAGCCCAAATCGTCTAGACATTGCCCGGCTACACCCCTAAACCCTAAACCCTAAACCCTACACATGGGTCACTGACTTTGAATGCAAAAAAACTTCAGCTCCCGACGCCCCTCCTCAGTCACCGTGGCGTTCATCACAACGGTGCCCCCAGCCGCTTCAAATTGCGCTGTAAGGTTGCCAGTGATGGTGTTGTAGCCTTTTTGTGACAAGGCTGCAGGGTTGCAGATGCTCCAGCTTTGCTGCGAAGCGTTTTAGCTTTTGAGGATCCTGGGCAGAATTCTTAAGTGCAGGGCGTATCATGCTCTACCAATTTTGCGCAATGAGTCTCAACGAGGTGCCCAAACTGCTAACAACCAACCCTCTGCAATTCGGGAGATTCAGTAAATTCTAGCCTGCAGCCCTATAAAGCGAAGCCAGCGCTAAGTTCAGCTCTCAAAGCGCAACCATGCGGCCATCGATGAAGAGCAGTTCAGGGCCGCCGGCGGAGTTCTTAGATTCGCATTCGGAGTTGGACGGGGTTTAGGCGTTCAGGTTCTTGATTTCAATTTTACGAGTGCAGGCTGAAGGTTTAGGGTTGCTTAGACTCAGCGGTTGCTGGGAATGGTGTTCGACGATGCACGTCGGTTTTATGCTCCACTGGCTTAGAGTGCGAGAAGGCAACTTTCAGGGTTTCGAGCCGCAACCTAAACTTCGGTACAATCCAGTTCGTTGTTCCGTTAACCTTACATGGTTGCACCATGTCACATCGCGGGTTTGCAAAACATGACATTGCTGAGCCGGGTGAAAAACGGTCTGTGTCAACAAAATTTGGCTTGCTTGCTTGTCGTGTGTTGGGCTGCTGCCATAAAGCACAGCATCAATTATGTACCTGGCTCCTGCTGTCACAGCTACAACGACTGCTACAAGGCGAGGACGAGGAAGTAGAAGCGGCGCTGACGACTACCACTACGACTACTCCTGCTACTACTACTGCTGCTGCTGCTGCTACCACTGCCATTCCTACCACTACTACTTCTACTACTACTAATAAGAATAACAATAGTGTCTTCTTCTTCTTCTACTACTACTACTACTACTACTACTACTACTACTACTACTGCTACTCCTGCTACTCCTGCTACTCCTGCTACTCCTGCTACTCCTGCTACTCCTGCTACTACTACTACTACTACTACTACTACTACTACTACTACGACTAAGACTACGACTACGACTACGACGACTACTGATACAATGAATCTCATGGTGTCTCACTGACTAGTCCTGCCATCAGCAGTAATGACATTCGCAGGAATCGAAGAGGGTCTGTAGCTGCTTCTCTTCGGAGGCTTGTGGCACCAAGTTGTCGAGCTAGCTGCATTAACAAAGCTTGACATTGTAATCATTGTTCGGTCTTATCACATAGAGACATAGAGAGACCTTCACTCCAGAAGCTGACAGGCTTCCGAGTCAGTTCCGAGGGCCCTAGGGAACCCTCTCTTTGCGACAGGGAAGCAGTGACCTGATTGATGGCCTCGTTTGCGACACTGACCAGATCGATTGTCGAACCTTGGTTGAAATCCCAGCCGGCCATGCACATCTCGCCTTCCACGGTGTTGAAGAATGCGGCGTCGTAGCTCCTGATCACCAGCAGCTGTGTGTATTTATGCATATACATATATATATGTATATATACATACGGGGGTTCATCTTCATGCACATCTCGCTCTCCTTCCCTCTCTCTCTCTCTCTTTCTCTCTCTCTGTCTCTCTCTCTCTCTCTCTCTCTCTCTCTCGTTGACAGTCCTCAGGGCGGCTTCCATCGTGCCTGACGTGTCGAGGCTCCCGTACCCACCACTCTCCTCGACACCCCAGCAGTACCTCGGCTCTTGGAAGTGTCAGGACTTCAAACCGGTGGAACAGTCGTGGTGGTAGCGGTGGCAGCAGTAGTCGTAGTAGGAGCAGAAGTAGCAGTAGCAGTCGAGCAGTAGTAGCAGCAGTAGCGGTGGCGGTTGCGGTACCGGGCGGAAGGAGCAGGAGTAGGATAAACAGCCTTTATTTTTGGACACTGCGGCCGGAAGATGCGTGATTCTCCCGGAGCAAGACTAGCAATCGCTACAGCAGCGCCGATTCTGGTTTATACTGTCCAAATGAGTTGACGTTTCTGGAACAAGCCACGCCGTCGCACGCATCCATTCCATGCAACACTACTTGGATAAGTACGGAATTCTCGCGTTTTGGGGCACACATAGACAACCAAGCCTTACAGTAGATGGCCACTGTGGTCAGCGCACGTAGCTTGTTCGGGGCTTTTCCGGCGCCGAGTTCGCACACAAAACGTGTTCTACCTCATGGTTTCTACTTTCGCACTCTGCCGAACAGTTTCCTGCCGCCCAATGATCTCTGCAACGCCGAAACCTAGTAGTAGTGGTAGCAGTGGCAGTGGCCATGGTAGCGGCCGTCTTAGTGGTGATAGTACCAGTCGCACACTTGTAGTCGTAGTCGCTGTAGTCATAGTCGCTGTAGTAGTAGTAGTAGTAGTAGTAGTAGTAGTAGTAGTAGTAGTAGTAGTAGTAGTAGTAGTAGTAGTAGTAGTAGTAGGAGTAGGAGTAGGAGTAGGAGTAGGAGTAGTAGTAGTAGTAGTAGTAGTAGTAGTGGTAGTAGTAGTAGTCGTAGTAGGAGTAGCAGTAGTTGTGAGTAGTAGTAGTCGTAGTGGTAGTAGCAGTAGCCTCTGAAGTAGTAGTACAATGGCTGAGTTTGACGAAGGACGGAATTAAGGCAAAGGTGGATCTCTGGGGACCTACCCCCACCTACCCGCCGTGGCTTGGACCCTTCTGGCCTATGCGACCCGTGGCTTTTGTTTGCTGAACCTGCCCCCCTCCCTCACAAGCGAATGGCCACTCATTGGAACGAAAGGGACTTCCGTGCCAACTAGAACCTACCAGAATATAAATTACGAGGAATGCTGCAAGTTGCCGACACTGGTTAAATCAGAAGCAAGGCTCGACTCGAAGGCGACTAAGTTCTGGTTGTTGTACTTGTAGCCATCCTTGTCATAGCCTTGGCTCCGTCTGTCGGCACCATGGACGGGTTTAGAGGTTCAGGATTTTGCGTTTACGTGTTGGTGCTTGGTGTGCTTGTTGGTCCTATCATTGTTCTTCTGTGTCTTGATATGTTTGTTGAGGTTTAGGACTTTAGGCCTTTAGGGTGTGCATAAGACTATGTTGGCGTAAAGTTTTGTTTTTATGTGCTTTCGTGTCGCCCTTCGGAAGCCGGAAAGCAACAGGCAGCCTATAGTCGACCCCAAACAGGCAGCCCCATGAGGCAACTAATGCCCTACCCCCGAAACCCTACACCGTCTAAACCTTCCTTGATGGTCCCTAATAGTGGGTACTTGGGGTCTAATCTAATCGAGGGTAGAAGGAGGGTCTAGGGAGGGCCCTTAACTTTTGAGAAGCACTTGGGCTGAACCTTTGCTTCAATGCCCCGGCCGTACACTTGCAAATCATATCTGATCCCTGGACGCATCGACAATTCAAACCCATCCGTATCTGAAAGTAAACCGAGGTGCGGCATCTCTGTTCATCAGCACTTTCTCGCGTGGCAATTCCGAACTCCGTAACGAAGGGCGTCAGCGGATTGTTCGGGCCTTCCACACCCCCAGAGGGAATGAACCAACCAAGGGCTCAACATCCCGATGTCTAGTTCATGGTTGGGATTAAAAAATCTAAACTTGTATTCCTTGTTGGGTTTAAGTACCCATTTTTTGAAAGCATATATAGACAGCAGGAGATGACGCGGTTTGGAAGTGTTGACTTCAGCGCTTCTTGCGGCCCTGGCAGCCGAGCAAGTTTCTTATTATGACAACGCTTCGACATACCCTGTCCCTAGAAAAAATGAGGATCTCGTGTCAGGAACTCTGTTTTCATAGTCCCAGCCCCGATCTCGGGTCAGGAAGTGTCTTTCGAATGACCCCTAGCCCCGAAAAGACACTTCTGAAGCCAGTGGAAGGTTGGAACAACATGGGAGTTTCCGAAAATTAGGGGTCCCGTATTTTGGGGTCCTCATATTAAAGATCCTATGATTTAGGGTACTATATTAGGGTCCCACATTTTTGGAAACTCCCACATAATGGAAACCGCTATCAATCTCGCGCCTGCCCCGTGAATCCAACTGGCCCCCAGGTCCACGGCAAAGCCGGTGGCTTTGCTGGTCCACGTGCGTCCGCCTTTGGGAAATAGGGATGTAAGGGGACTCAATGCGAGATTCTCATTCATAATCCTTAATGCTGAGGGTAGCATTTTACCGGGCATTAAAAAGGGCAAAAAGGTGCTACTGGGGAACCTAGAGCAGGCACAGTAGGTGTCTTGGGGCGTAATTTCTATCCTATAATTATGGCTCACGCGGACCTCGCGACGAAAGTGTTTTTCTTTCAAGGTAAGGAAAGGATGATGGGGCGTAGTAGGTACGAGTACGATTATGCCTTAACGTACTTGGAGCTTTACTACATTCCCTGATCCTCCACGCAGGGTTTACATAGAAGCCTGAATACGTAGTAGTGGTTGGTCCCTTCATTGTACTGAAGCCGATACGGGGTAACCTTACAGCTGCATGAACTTACTTTCAACACTTCATCGTGCGACTCTCCGTGGAAGGATCCCTGATTACAAGACTCTCGCAGTTGTCGCTAAATGTCTTATGGCAGCAAAAAATCCACCGCAAAGCAGCAATAGGGAGCCCGAATCTCCAAACACGACACCCAAATGCAGCCCCATGGAGCCCGCCTATGCGGTCTCTGCCTTCCAGCAAAGTGACGCTGTGCCCATTGTCTTGCAAGCGCTTCGCAGCACTCAGGCCGCCGGCCCCTGCCTAGCATTCTTGTGGGGCAGGAGGTCCCCATTTACCCAAAAGACTCATCCTCATAATGCCAATGCTGCTGCAATGAGGACAACAACACAACTTCGAGGCATGATTAGCAACCAGACCTTTACGGTCCTCGGGCTTAGTTGATTGGCGTGGTTACAGCTAGAACGGACAGAGGACACTGCTTTCCTTGCAGAGGAAGCTGCGCCGACCACAACCACGTTCAGGGCCGATGCCGCGCAGAGAAGACTCGCAATGAGCAAAATCTCCATGCCAAAGGCTGCGTAGGCTGCCCAGGGCCAGGGGTTCAGATGCCGCAGGTGCCGCAACCCTTGAGCCGCAAGAAACAGTGTTTCAGCCCCGATGGAAACACTCGGTCCTCCAGTACATTTGATAACTCTACGAACCTTACGCGAAAACAATCTAGTTACCTAGTTGCTTTCGGACCCCGGGACATCCACCCTGAACCCCCAAGCAGTGAACCGTGGATCCAGAATCAAGCAAAATGTCGAACACATGAAGAGAGAGAGAGAGAGAGAGAGAGATACATATATATATATATATATATATATATGTATGTATATATATATATATATATATATATATGAAAGGTAGGGTCTCGGAAAGCGTGTTTTGGCAGCAGGACTCCCAACCAAGGCAGGGGGCAGGGCACTTTGACGGGCACTCTCAAAGGATCGGGAAGTGAATAAGAGCATGCACTTCTATCGCAAACCTACTTTAATGACTTTAATGCCTGTTCCAAAGAACACGGGGCTCGAAACCACAGTATCCTTGATCCAAGGGCTGCAGCTAGTTTAAGACACCCCGTTCCTTCGCAACCCAAGTCACTATGTCGCCCCGAGCTGTCTTAGGACGCTGGACCTTTGGCGGTACTGTCTCAAGCCTAAGCTTCGAAGGCAGGCTGGGGCGCATGGGGGAGGGGGGTTTAGCGCCTTCTGCGGCCGACAGCCCGAAATTCTCGAAGCTTTAAACCGTAAGCACTGAAGGTCTAAAGTCACCCAAACCCGAGACCCTAAAGTTAGGGTTTACGGTTTTGAGTTTAAGGCTTCAGGGTTCCTAAACCCTCAACCCCAAAACTCGCAAAGCCTAAAACCCCTACATAAAGCTCTAAGCCATGCGGGATTGTTACTCGCCAAGCCACGACGGCACCCATTGAGCACCGAACCACCTGACATCGAGACAGTTCGTCCAATTCTCAACATCAAAATCCTGGCTAATCTTAGGGCCATAAAACCTACCTAGACTATACATATATATATACACACACATATATAGATATATACATACATACATTATTTTTTATTTTTTTTTGGGGGGAAGTCCTGACTGTAACCATAGTATAATGGGCCCCAAAATCCTTCTAATTCTAAAGGCCTCTGCAGTAACATGCTCAGGCATGTTCAATCTGGGTTCGATCCTCAAGCGCTAAGCTTTTGAATTCGCCGTGGATTGCTACTTCATCCTGAAGCCGTTAAGCACCCTCCCCGCTTTCCGAAACACCCGAGATTCCAAGAAACCGAAGCGGCTACAGCAACTCTACTACCCACAACAAGAAGAACAACGAGAACACCACCACCGCCATCTTCGCCGCCACCAACAACAACAGTACCGCCGCCATCACCAACAAGAACAACAAAAGCATTAACACAACCACCAAAAACGACCACTGACAGCAACAACAAGAACAACACAGATAAAGACAGCAACCAGAACTGTCAGTATGGCCCAAACTTTAGCTACTCCCACTGATACTTACTCTTCTTCTTCTTCTTCTTACTGCTGCTACTACTACTACTACCACCACCACCACCACTGCCACCACTGCCACCACTGCCACCACTGCCACTACTACCACTACTACCACTACTACTACTACTACTACGACCACTAACACAACCACTAACACCACCACTAACACTACCACTAACACTACCACTAACACTACCACTAACACTACCACTAACACTACCACTAACACTACCACTAACACTACCACTAACACTAACACTACCACTACGACGACAACGACGACGACTACTACTGCTACTACTACTACTACTACTACTACTACTACTGCCACTACTACTACTACTACTACTACTACTACTACTACTACTACTACTACTACTACTACTACTGCTACTGCTACTGCTACTGCTACTGCTACTGCTACTGCTACTGCTACTGCTACTACTACTACTACTACTACTACTACTACTACCACTAGTACGACGACGACGACGACTACTACTACTACGGCCACTACTACTGTAAACCCCAAACCACGAAAACCAGGAACCCAACCCCTCATCCCCAAACACAACCCTAAACGCGCAAAGCTGAAACAACAAAACCAAAGTCACTTTGACCCCTGTATACTTCGGAAACCCCTAAATCCCAACTTAACCTGAAAACACTCGACATGTGGCCTTTGGGTTGAAAACGTCCACGGTGCCTTTGGTGAGGACCAACGTCTTAGATCCGAAGGCCTTTCGGTGCGTTGGGGTAAGTACAGTAGAGAACTACAAGGACTAGGATGTAGGGCTGCTGGTTTTACTGTTTGGGTTTGAGGTCCGGGGGCTTTAGAGCTGTCTTCTGCAATTTCCGCCTCAGCATGTTCTTTTGTAGTGCCTTGGTCTCTTGCAGGTTGAGCTTCGTCTTTGCAATTTGTAGGTGCGCAACGGGTTTTTTGGGGCCGTGTATTTCGCGGTTTAGAACCGTCTTCTCTTGCGATACAATGCAGGATGTAAGTGGTGGTCCAGATGGATTTCGCTCGCGTGTGTCCCAGTCTTGCACAAGCTTCAAAAGGGGTTTAAACCGTCTTATGTGTTCGGGATGGGCGTACGGCTGATGCCAGGCCTTAACTATTGATGCGCTGCTCACGGCAGTGGCAAGCAGGCTACGATGGATTCCTCCCGATGTTAATTGGGATTCTAGGGGACAGAGCAGACATGGCGGAACAACAAAAGCTCCCATCAGTCCAAAATCACTCTCAATTGGGCATCTGGCCGCCGCAGTCTACCACTTTCCTAAAATTAAAAACCACTCAAGGTTCACCTGTTTTTAAGATCCAATAGGTTGTGACTATGTGCCTCAGGCATTGAAGGGCTCACGGCTTCGGGGCTTGAAGTTTTCAGACTCTGCTTATAGGTTTTGGACGCCTTACAAAAAACCACCTTCTCTTGTAAAAGGATCACTATTGACATCCCTCCTGAAGATGCATGCGAGGTGGACATTAAACCACGACTGTGACCATTGAGCCGCTAAGCCCGCAGCGTACTCCGCAAGTCTGAGGCCCGGCAGAGTGAAACCCTCCGTTTGATTCAATCCGACTCCACGGCAACAATCCTTCTAGCACGAGGGTTCGGGTTTGGCCATGGGGGCCAAGCCCAATAGCGCAGGCAACTACATCGCCAAGGCAAGAACAGTCCTCGTGGTCTGTAGCGCTTTTGCTTTCAGGATGTAGCCGCTCCCAAATCCCACCCAGCACTGAAAGGATCTCACGAATATGGTTTCTGGAATCCCTCCCGTGAACATCGGGGCTTTCGTGGAGGCTGCTGTATGCCGTACTACAGTCTTACAATGCGGGGTTTAAGGGGACATTCCTGCGAATTCTTCGTATATTCGGTGCACTTAAAACCCGTGCTGCCGCCGCTTTTCAGGGCGGTAGTTGCGAGCTTTGGAATATGAGGGGCCCAGACCCAAACTACAAAAGATCATCAATAAAAGAGGCCCCCAAATCAGGCAGCCATAAGTCTACCTAAACCCTGCAGAATCCTGATTAACAACTAGAAAAGAACACCCTATCCCAGCCTTGGTACCCGCAATTTTCAGAACCCACCCCCTCCCCCCATCCCCTTATGGAAGCGTACCTCCATCGTCCGGAGTATCACGCCCAGGTTGTTGGGATCCTCTACACCATCCAGGACAACCACGGACTCTCCGAGAGCCTCTGGCAGTGGGCAGCTTCGGCTGAGGCGCCATGTGGGAGTTTCCGAATATTAGGGGCACCTTATTTTGGGGACCATATCATAAGGATCCTACTTTTTAGGGGTGCTATATTGGGGTCCCCTATTTTTCGGAAACTCCCATATGGCTGTTTTTGTTCACGACAGCTGTCCTCTGTTTACCAGAAACCCTGAACCGAAAGTCATTCTTCGGGTTCTAAAGCTTCACCTGCTTCGGCTGGAGAGCCGCGGAGCTTTCTTGCAGGAAAATGCTGTTTGACGCTGACCTTCTGCTGGACTAGTCGAGGATTTGGTTAAAGATGTGATGCAGAATGCCAGCACGAGCCCATCAACGAGGCTACTCGGTGCATGAGGCATGCGAAGACGGCATCCGCATCAATGCCTCAAAAGGACAGAAAGCCGAGGAACACGTGGTGTGCCGAACGCACCAAGAGCTCCCGAACACACGAACGAATGGAATGTGACAGCAATCCAAACATGAAGAAGCCAGGCTCAGATCAAGGGCTCGCGTCTTCTGGCCCGCAAAAGTTGAGACTTGGAAACCAACCCTGGTTGCCTGGTTAAGGGCTGCCAGTAGCTAAACATCTCCACTTCAACTTTAATCACGCTGTAGACCTTAATCACAAACTCAAGAACGACAAGCTCCATGGCCAATATTCGTAAGATGCAGGGCGTCGACAAAACCCAAACACGCAAACAAACATGGAACTACAGCCTTTGTGTTGCACAGTGGCAAAGGGAAACCCTGAAACCGGCACCAAAGCCCAGCCACATACAACGCTACCAGCAACACTCTGAACCTAAACGCACTCCTACAAAGAGCCTAAGGCAATCCTATACTGACTGTTAAATGCCCTTGCGAAACCATAGCGAAATTTTGAAAGGGCACATTTCAACAAACCGAAGAGGAGACGGAAACATCCCCGACACCTGCGCTGTCGATGGCCGGGGCAATCCAAAAACGCAAAGCACTCCCTGGGACTTCCTGAGCTCTCGATGCAACATAATATACTGTGCTATACTATATAACATACCATAGTATACCATTATATCATGAGCTCTCTATGATTTTGTTAAGGCTGTTTGTGTAGGGTTTAGGGTTTCAATGATGGTGCACGGCATAGGGTTTAGGATTTTGTGTAGGGTTTCGGGTTTCAAGGACGGTTTAGTTTCACTTTGCACGTTCACCACAGCCAAAAAGTCGGAATAGTTTGGGTTAAACAGTTGTAACAGTCAATGGACTTCGAGTTTGTGCTTTCCTGCGTTGGAAATGTACAGCTTCATGGGGCTCATTCAATTTCAGATATTGGCTTCTGTGGGGCTGGAGGCTGGCAAGTTGAAGGCCTCAGGTGGTTGAAGCTCTGAAGCCTTTGGAAGAGACCGTTGAATCCCAAGCCCACCCCAAGCCTAAACCGTACAGCTCTCTCGCACACCCCTTGAAACTGAAAAGCCTAAACCCTAAACCCTAAACCGTCTGAAAAGCCTAAATCCGAGCTGCTCCTGCGTGGAGAGTTGGTCGAACAGCCCATTGGAGAGTACAGCGAAACCAGGCGCCACATCCGGGTGGCCGGTGTCGGCCTTGAGACGCCCTTTTGGCGGCTCAGGGCTTAGGAGTTTCATAGGCTTTACCCAGAGACTCCAATACCCCTTATAATTAGGGAATAATCCCTAAATCATATTAAGGATCCTACTATGATTTAAGGTATCTTCCTTAATTAAGGGATATTGAAGTCTCTGGGTGTGTGAATATCACGTTCGGATCTTCCCAGAAGGACTTCGTAGCAGCTTCAGCATCAGCTTCAAGCTTCGGCCCCAAAGTGCGGCTGAAGCCAAGCTGCCCGTAAAACCCTAAACCCCTTAAACCCCTAAACCCTAGACCCCCTAAACCCCTAAACCCCCAAACCCCCGTAAATCCATAACTAAACCCTAAACCCCCTAAAGCCCCTAAAGCCCCCCCTAAACCCCTATAAACCCCCTAAAGCCCCCTAAACCCCTAAACCCCCTAAACCCCCCTAAACCCCCCTAAACCCTAAGCCCAGCTGCCTTGAGTCCTCCTCCCCAGGTCAGGGGAGGGGCAACGCGGGGAGGTCCAGCCTCGCTCGCAGAGAGAACAGCCTCGACAATCTCCTTCCCGGCTCTTCTCTGTATTATTAGTATTAGCATTACAATTAGTATTATTATTATTATTATTATTATTATTATTATTAGTATTATTGGTATTATTAGCATGATTATTAGTATTGTTATTACTATGTATTCTTCTTCCTCTTCTTATTATTATACTTATTAGTATTATTTGTATTAGTATTATTGTTTATGGGGGGGGAGGGGGGTTTTTAGGGGTTATACGGGTTTAGGGTTTATACGGCTCAGGATTCAGGGGGTGTAGGCTTGAGGGGTTATAAGGGGTTTAGAGGTGTACGGTTAAGGGGCTTATTGGGGGTTATTGGGTTTGGGGGCTTACGGGTTTAGGGTGCTGCGTTTGTAGGGAGCTTGGCTTAGGGAGCTCTCGGGGTAAATGCTCTTTAGGGTTTTGCATGCGAGTTTGGCTTAGGGAAGGGATTCCATGGTTTGAGGGGGTGTATGACTTGGGGTCGATTTGCACGAAGGGTCGTAGTCATGTCTGGAAGAATGCCGACAGCCGCTGCGGCAATACTACCAATAACAATGCCAGCGACAGTAATCACAATCATACAGACATCAATATCATGGCGACAATGAATAGAAGTAATGGTACACAGGTGGTGCTGACGCTAATGCTGCTACGACTTACATCTGACTGCGCTGTGTAGGAGTGATGTGAAATTCTCAGGCTATGCCATCCTTTAGCGAAACCCAACCATATTGCCGAAGCCAAGAACCCAAAGCACAAAACCCAAGAACCAGTACCCAACAATATCTTGTAAGCGACGTCAAGAGGAGCAACAAAAGCAAAGAGTTGGGGGAGTGGCAAGGAATGTAACTTTCTACTGCCGTTCTAAAGATCAGCAAGATAGAAGCTTGTCCACAACCGCTTTCCTTGTTACGGGTCCTGCTTTCGGTGACTCTCATTCTGCTCTTATGGCTAGAAACTGTCAAAGGTTAAAACCAACAGCCCACAAAAACCGACGCATGGAGACCGTAATTTCTGCCAAATCCCCCTTGGCGCCCAAAGAATTTGAAGGCCCAAGCCCAAAATATCAATCCAATATTGCGCACTGATCTCCTGGAGGCCACCGTCGTCGTAGCGGCTTTGGCGTACGACGACCGTCCGCGGGCGCATGCGTCTTGGTGATGCACGACCCTCCACGAACCGGAACTTCAAAATACAAGAGCGTGCAAAACTAAAAGTACCCAAACAACAAGATACTGCCTCCAACACCCACCACAAGGAACCTTAAAGCCACACGCTAACGAATACGACGCCGCATATCCCAGCAACACAAAAGCTCAAAACCAAATGATGTGCAGGAAACTCAGCACTCGCTTTGAGGGCTTCCGGATTCATGGCGTGGTATTTGGAGCCCATGCACTATGGGGCTGATTGTGCATGACGGTGACAAAAAATGGAGCTTCTACAAACCATCCAAAAACGAAGGCGAAAGTCAGTCGAATGGTCAAGATCCCTTCTCAACTAAATTCCCGGAGCTGCTGAATACCTAGTTCTTTGCTGGCGCCAAAACATGTACGAGCCTCGATGTTGAACCAATAATGTAGAATGTTTGCTATGTCTTGGATCACGGCATCATGTACCGCTATATGCCAAAACATCCAACAACCGAACCTTACATAACAGGACAATCTCCTTGGACAACGATTCCGTTTCTCCAATGCCAGAGTGATATGCTCTGCACCCTTCCGTCGTGCTAACTTTTTCCTTTTGCATGGGCCCGTGGTTTCCTTGCGCTGCAATGGGCTGCTAATGGTCCATGGGTTGGCCCGAATGGAGCGATTCTGAACTGACAGCTGTAGGTTGCGCACGCAAAAACCTGACGCACATAACTGCATACGATGGCTCTTGCTTCAGTTATTATATATATATATATGTATGTATATATATATATGTATATGTATATATAATTCATATGCATGTGCGTGTGTGTGTGTGTGTGTGAATTTCAAATGTACATAGATACATCCATGCTGCTCTCAGAAATCCCAAGCTTTCTGAATTCCCTGAACGTGACGAGCCAAGCCAAGACAAGCCATGTTGACATGGGTTGTTCTAAAAGCTGCTGTCCAATACAGGACCCGGTCACAACGAATAACGTCGCAGACCCAAACTCTTCTTAAATGACTCAGAGCAAACAGGCAAACAACGCAAACCCAAATTTCGCACAAAATCCCCCAGCCAACACTGCAGCCAAGGCAGCAGGAAGGTGTCCCCCTCCGCTAGGAAACGGCCCAACTTGCTCCGACCCGCGCGGGTCGCGAGCTTTCTCAACAGCTTGTAAGCATTGCCTCGGTTCATCTAACACTGCTTACATGTTTTTCTTTTTCGGTTGCCGGGCAGATCCTAGCATGAACGAGGGAGTTGGCTGGTATGCCATTCTCCGGATGCCCGTGACGTGGACACGACTTAACCCGTGGATTACCTCGTCTGGACAAGTTCTCGTTCATCGCAGGCAAGATCACAACTTCATAACTGCAGTTGTTCACCTTGATTTAGGGCTTGACGCCTAGGGCTCAACAGTGTAGTCTCACGGGCTCAAGCTTGAACGCATGGGTACAAAATCTTGAAGCCTCAACACCTGAAGCCTGCATCCCAAATCCTCAACCGGGTGTACGCGTCTGACAATGCCTCTGTAAGACAGCCGGGCAGCTGCGCTTTGACTGGATCTCAGCGGCTTTTGGCAAAACCGCGCGCAGCTGAACCCGGCCGATGCGTGGCCGCTTGACCACGAGGTGCAAAGGGCAGACAACCAGGGCGCTGAGACCTCTGAAAGGATTTGGGCTTCGGGGGTCTTGGCACTGAGAGGTGTTCCGGTCATCTGCAAGGACATTGACGTTCAAGGTTGACCCATAAATCTCGAGCCGTGTCTCGAACAAGATCCGGCTCTGCACCCAAAAGCCGCTCAGCCTTGAAGCCCAAATCGCCGCACTCTTCAATCCGTCACATGCTACGACTTCCGCCAATCAGTCCGGCGGAAAGACGTGACACTCATGACATCGGCATGACGAATGTTGTAACAAGGCCATGAACACGAAAGACGAGAAGGTAAGCGGAACAGCAGGGCTGTTAAGGGACGACGAAGCACAGGGTGACTGCGAGCCGCTGACTCGTCAAGGCCAAAGGTACTTGTGGCGTCGGCAAGCAGCAGTGTGACTGCTCCAGCGAGGGCAACCCGATAGCGAACCGAAACCATGCTCCGCCAGGAATGTCGGAGTTTCCCGGTCAACATGCGTCGGTTTTTTGGGTTATACGGGTTGGATAGGCTTTCGAGGTTGAAGGGCTCAGGCGAACTGTGCAAGCATGGGCTCCGTCTAGCGGCTGTCCGAGCTTCGAGCCCTAAGGTAGTGTGAACTTGAAGACTCTGAGAGGACGCCAGGTCCGAAGAGCACTCGTGCTGCCGATGCTTGTGAAAAGCCTTTGCGAATGTACTCATCACAAGAATGAGAACAGTGCTAGTAGCTGTGCTAGTACAGGTAAGGCTGACAAGGCACAGAACGATTTGTACCGATCCAGAAGGTTTCCAGAAGAACAATCCTCGTCACGGCCACTCCTACCGTCAACGCCGCCAGCCATCACCGATGCCGTGCGCTGTTGAAACATCGATTTACGGTATACCGATTTACAGGGTTTAGGTTGGGGACTGGGCCTTAAGGTTTGTGGGGCGTGGACCTCTGTTGACCCAATTTCCAATTTCACAAGCATACACGCCTTTTTCTTGACCTTGGGTCGGCCCCTTTCAAACAGCTCGAAGGAGCACTCTCTCACGCCACGGGAGGAGTTGTGAAGACCTGAAGGCTTTCGTGGTGCAACGGCTGCTAAAAGCTAAGAAGGGGGGTTGTGTTGCACTGGAAATAGAGAGGGGATTCTACTACTTTTTTTGCATTCTTGGCTCGTAGAAGTTGCGGGTTTGAGGGGTTTATAGGACCAGGCTCATAGTTTCAGAGGCTTCAATATCCTGGATATGCAGCTCGCCTTACGCCCAACTCTGAACTGAATCTACCGTGGCGCGACGCTTGCATCTCCTACAGATTCCTACACCCTAAACGCTGGATCTCCAGCCTTATACACCCGCATCGCCCGAAGTGCTCTCTCGCTTGAGAACCTAAAACTCCAAGTCCCCCACTCTAGGCCCGAAAGCCTCGAAGGCTCAGGTTAAGTGATGATGCTACATGGGGTTGATGAAGGATGTGCTGGTCAGCGAGACACTCGTTCCAAGAAAAACTAAACACTGCTCGCTCTCTCTATCTCTCTCTCTCTATCTCTCTCTCTCTCTCTCTCTCTCTCTCTCTCTCTCTCTCTCTCTCTCTCTCTCTCTCTCTCTCTCTCTCTCTCTCTCTCTCTCTCTCTCTCTTCTTCGGCGTTAGATGCAAGCGAACTGAAAGCTACACCCCAAACGCTTAACATCTCCGAAGCTTCCCCGATGCCTTCCGATCCTGAGGCTCCAAACAATCCAAAAGAATGGAACTAGTCTGTTTCGCGTCTGTGTGTGCGTGCTCATCACAGCCCCGGCGCACACGTCCATAACTGCGGGCATGTGTCAGCATGGCTATTCATGCATGCCCTACTGCATACTCAAAGGGTCACAACAATTGGTAACTAGTACTGTAGACAGGGCGACGATAGCTTTTATATTTGCGCGAAACGTTTTCGGTACTTCTAACCCTTCTCTCGTCCTCCAACTGAGCCTGACTAGCCAACGCTCTTTGCAAAAACAGCGGCAGGGCTGGAAGAGCTGCAGCAGAGCAGGGAGCCCATGTTCATGCGGTGGTCCTGGCATCAGTATGTCAACAGCTAATATACGACCATATAGATGTATATGCACACACCTGTATCTATCTACGCATACCCACACACACACACACATATATATATATATATATGTATGTACGTGTATATATACATACACACATACATATATGAGTATGTATACGTATTCTCATTACCTTGCATTGCATTACATTGCGATGCAATGCGCTTCAACAAAAAATCATACAGAAGTACAGCTCTTATGTGGAATACTATGCTCTATCATACTGTAGTATATTCCAATAGTGTATATTATATACTATTTTGATACATTACTTAACTACATATTTGTATTGCAATGCTCTATTGGGTTATATCAAAATGTCTTATATTCTGCCATGCTGTGTTGCATGACAGTACATTAATTAAACAGCCACTTCTTGACGCCAGCGACGATGGACTCGCCATGGACTTCACAATACGTCTCGAAGTCCTTGCCCGCCAATTCAATATCACATTTTCGGGGTTCTGTCGCTGCAGCTCTCGGTTTTGAAAGGTATGGGCGTTCGGGCATAGGACTTGATCTCTCTAGTACACAAAACCCTGAGCCTACATCCTTGTGCTTACAATCTTGCAGGTCTCAGCTCCGTCTCATGCAGGGGTCTCAGATTATCGCAGATTCGGAGAAGTTTTCACCCAGATCGAGAACAGCCTACGAAAGGTCCGGGAAACATACCGCAAACTGCATCCGAAGCCGGGAAGCGAGGATCTGTAAACGCTAGAATCCGTTAGAATAAAGCCTACGCCAAGTCTCAAACGGTGAACCCTGAAACCTCACTGCTAAAACACCACAATCCCAGACCCAATGGCAATATCACTGCTCGCAAATCTGAACATGACTGTTGCATTTGCAAGCCCGAACTGAACCTACAACAAACCCCAAACATTCAAGCGCGCAAACCCAGTACCAGTGCTTTGGGGATGTCTGTCATGCAGGGCTTCCGGATCAAGGTTCGAGCCTACAGGGGCTATGTCAGGATTTGGCTGTTGGCGCTTGGGGCTCGGGGGTTGCGGATTGACTTCAGGGTTAGAAGTCCTCGTAGTTGATCCTGCCATCGGCGTCCTCGTCGCAAATGTTGAAGAACTGCATGTACCTAGAACTTGCAAGACTGTCGGGTTGTGGGCGGGGGCACATATCACTTGTATTGTTGCTCAGCCTCCTATAAGCACTGCCAAAATGACCTTGGTGCCACGACTTCCCATGTTCCTGACCTATGTGTATGCAACTGAATGATGTTGGTGAACAAACTGTTGACCATGACGACTACAATGGCGACGATGGTGGTGGGCATTGGAGTTCTTCCCTGTTCGACTGTAATTACAGGCCTTAGATTGCTGCATACATGTCATCGTATCCACAGCGGTACTGCCAGCTAAACGCTTTTGCATGCAAGCCTCAGCTGCTGTTCAGGAGGCTCAGGATGTCATTCTTAAAAGCGCCTGTGTCGGAAACGGCGACAGAGCGCAGCTGTTGGTCTTCTTCTGCATAAGTCCGTTTTGGATCCTCGTCAGCCAACCAAAGCATCTTCAACAGCAGAACAAGTCGTTCCTTGGTGGCGACGTTAGGGTCCACCAGCAGCTTGACCATGAGGGACACCCACCTCTGACGCTGATGCTTGCTCAGCGAGCGCACGAGCTTCTCCAGCGTGCGGAGGCAGGACTCTATCTGTGTCGAATTTGAAGCCAAGTCTTCCAGCAGTGCAAAAATGCCCTCTGCAATAGCTTGCTGCACGAAAGGGAGGGCATCGCTAGCGTGGTTGTGCAGAGCGAGGTGGGCAGCAGCAGCAACGGACGCATCCGCACTCCAACAGTGCCGCAGCAAACACTGCAGGTTCTTGCCGACTGTGCGGCGAACGTAGCTTTCCGCAAAATGCGTAAAGTCTTTAGACGCCAGTGCCATGCACCAAGACCGACACAGAAAAAGCTTCTGCTGCTCGTCATCGCCTTCGAAGGCTGAATCATCCGACAGGTTCGGATTCACTATGTACAACTCCAGCTTTCCGGCGAAGTCGTGAACTGCATCTGCGGTCTCCATGCTGCCCATCTCGGCCACGTGCGCTGTCAAGGCCTCCGGGCTTCTGGTGCGTCTGGAGACCAGGCGCAAGTTCAGCAGCTCCTGCACTCCCAGATACGGCAGCAGGTTTGCCACGTGGAGGTCGGAGGGGGTGCATTCCCCAGCACTGACCTCGATGCCTGTGAGCGCCGTCAGCGAGTGGCAACAAAGCTGTCGTCCTGCGGGAGACTCATCCCATCTGATGTCTTCATCCCCGATCTCCGACTCGCTGTCCGAGGCCATGCAAACCACCTCGCAGCTGCGGTCGCTGCACTGGTGGCAGACGGGCCCTAGCCACAGCGCAGCAGGAGAAGGCACCACGGGGTCTACCATGGGAGAGCCGGCAGCAATTGGAGGTGCGTCCTCCGTTGCCGCGTCCTCCGGCGCTTCGACGACTGTCCAGTCAGTGTCCTCTTCGCTGCTGCCAGGTGCTGTGTTCGAGCTCTTCTGGCTCTCTTCAGTGCTCTCTGCACATGGTTCTACTGCAGCACTCATCTTCGCTTTGCAGCACTTGGAGCACTCAGGCTCGTGATGATAGATCTGTTGTTGCAGACTGAAAATGAGGTTTTGTTGCAGCCACAGCTGCTGATTGCTCTGCGCCAGCTGGAACTGGACGGCATTCACTTGGTTCAAGAGCAGGGCGACTTGGACGTCCGGCTCCCAGTACCACACGGGGCCCGCGCTGGGCCAATAATCAACCATGGCGACACGAGCAGATTTCGCAGGTGTTTGATTTGTGCCGAAACTTTGCATGCCATCTGCTGTCTCAAGAACTGCCACAGCCTCCCAAACTTCGAAAACTCATTGCAACGCTCCAATTTGCCTCAACCGGTGCTTGGGAAAAACAAGGGTACTTCTTGGTAACCCACATTCACCAGTGTTAACCCAAGCGAAACGTCTGGAAGGATGTTGAGTCTCCGCACTCATCCGAAGCAGAGTCTGTGGCGGTTGCAACCTCGGGACAAAGTGGGGCTCAATCGGTTGTTCAGTTGGCTAGTTGTTGATCAAGGTTCTTCTTCAGGCCTGCGGCTTTTCCCCGAATCCCCCAGCCTCTAGAAGCGCTTCGAGTCTGCGGGTTTCTGGGTTTGGGGTCCAAGGTTCAGGGACTCCAGTGCAAAAACACTCGTTGCCGCAGCTGCTGGACAACCGCAACAACACTGCACACGAGTGAACGGCGTCAACGGGCATGCATGTGTCGAAACGCCACGTGCGATACCTGTACGAGTATCTGCAACGTATGCCGAACATACTGCACAAAGCTGGACACATGAAATCAGAAACGCTTAGACTCAAACATCCTTAATGTTCCGCCGCTTGCTGCCTGACACTCGCAGAATAGAAACTCATAGAGCAACATGAGTCTGAAGCATGTCTTGAGAGCACATTGTCCAAGAATGATTCTGGGTTTCTTGCATCCGAAAGCCAAATCAAATCAACCCGTTGAGTTTAGTTTCACCAGTTGCAAAGGAGTCAACTTCTTTGGTGAAGCGAGCCAAATCTTGGTCTGGAGCACATGACAACAACAGCTGAACTTCCTTGAAAATCTTATGAAAGTCCGTCCTGACACAAACCTACGATCAAAGCTATTGAAGAGTTCCTTCTGGGATCCGGGCGCTTGACGTGGTCTGCAACGAAGAACGCCTCCACTTCGGGCACTCGAAAGATGCACTGAGGTCATGGACCCAATATGTAAGCCCAAAATGTCAGGGGTTCGTTCCTTTGTTGGTATCTCGCTCGGGCTGGCGTCGGTCATGCGAATCATGCGCAGATCTGTCGACAGCCTCGTCGCCTGAACTGAACCTCAAATTTTGGCGATCGGCCATTCATGCTCTTGAGTGGCTTCTGGTTCAAGGAAAAGGAAGACGGACGAAACACATCCCAACAGACAAGGGAGACCTGTGATGGAGCGTTTGTGTTCTGGATCTGCAGTGAGCGCGGCTACTTGCAATGGCGCCCTCCCCCCCACCCATTATAGTTTAAGGGTTCAGGTTTACCTGCAGTTAGCTTCGAAGAGTGTTGTTGGTTCTCCCACGATCAGGGCTGAATCCCAAACCTGATCAGTTGAACCTTGCCAAGCCTCAGGGCTGCGATCTTCGTTTCCAAGATGCTACGGACATCCCCCTTGCGGCTGGGCTTGAGTACTTTCAATCTCCCATTGGATCTCCAAAATCCGAAAGCCACAAGCTTCAACCCGTTGAAACTAGACTCAATAGATACAAGCTAGTCGACTTGTTATGTTCTTCTTCGTGTGAAACGAACCGAATCTTGGTCTGAGAGCACATCACAACAATAATTGAACTTCCTTGAAAGCCTTGCGAAAAGTCCGAACAGGAACCTTTTAACCAATGCCCGCGTGGCCAAACAGTTCGTCCTGGGCTCCGGGCACTTGACGTGGTCTGCCAGGAGGGACGCCTCCACTTCGGGCGCTCGAAAGATGCACTGAGGTCTTTGACACCATGTATACGCGCAAAAAGTCAATGGTTTGTTCCTTCGTGAGTATCTTGGACGTGCGGTTCAGTGTTAGGACCTCAGGGCCCGAGGCTGGAAGAGTCACGCCGCTTGTGTTGGGGTCCATGCGAATCTTCATGCCAAGCCCTGCGCCCGGCAGCCTTCCAAAAACCTGCCTCTGGCGGAACAAACGATGCGCTAAACCACACCGACCCCCCCAAAAAAAAACCGCTGAGGATGTGCAGTTCTGTGGACGTCTTTCTCGCTTGAACTGAACCTCAAATTGTGGCGGGCGTCACCATTATCTGGAGTGACTGGCAGACAAGCTCCAAACGCTGATGCGGTTACGGGCGTATGAAGTCGGGTCAAGGGAACAGGAAGACGGCTTAGGGCCTGGGGTGTCAAGCCAACTCCTTTGTAGTCTGAACCAGGACCTCCATGCTACAGGGCCCGGTGCAGAGCCAAGAAACAGAAACCTCAACAGAAAAGAGACCTATCACAACACGTTTGGCTAAAGGCTTGCAGACAGGTCTTCGCAGCAATCTGTCGGGATGAGAATGCCTCCTTGCAATGCCCTCCTTCCCCTGTAGGCAAACGCGGGCATCCCGGAATGTCAAATCCGAAGTCCTCAGCCAGGTAGGATGATGTGGGGTTCAGGTTTTACTTGCAGCTGCTGTTCAAAGAGTGTCGAGGGTTCTCCCACGATTATGTCTGATTCCCAGACAAAACATTGGGGCTTTAACACTCCCCAAACTAGTGGTGGTTTTCGCTTACGCCCCTATTTTCATCAGCTGAGCCTTCCCAAGCCTCAGGGGCGCGATCTTTATTTCCAAGATGCCGCGGAAATCGCCCTTGCGGCTGGTTGCTGGTATTTTCAATCTATCCTGTGCCTTTGGTGTAAAGGGTATAGAGAATTTGATTGGAGGGAGTTACTTTGAGGATCATGGGACATAGTAACTGTGGCTAGAAGTAAGGTTACTAAATTGTTAGAATCAGCTAGAATTACTTAAAAGCCCAATCAGGGTACTTAGAACTTACAACCTTACTTACTAAGTCCCATGATCCTCCCAGTACTTGCATGAAACACCAGAGTGTGTGTGTGTGTGTATATGTCTGTGTGTGTGTGTGTGAGCCTCTGTTGTCTCGGGGCTCCCGGAGCCCTTTTTTGGCCCTAAACGGTTCAAGGGGTGGGCCCAGGTAGCTAAGGGTTTAGGTTTAGGGCTTAGGATTGGGTATGCTTGAGGTCCGGGGCGGTGTGTCTGGGACAGGCTGCTTAATCTACCAGGATCCCTTCAACCAAAGGGTGGAGGTCATCAATCAGGGGCCCCAAGAAGGATTCATAGCAGGGGGGGTTTCTGGCTTCTTGTTTCGGCAACCATAAGAAGGACGCCCTTTTCCATTATTTGCCATAGATCCCTATCGTGGGAACATAAACCGAACCCAGGGTTTGGGAGAGGGGGGGGTTGGAGGGAATACTTAGGGCTGAAGACTTCAAGTCATTGGGCTTCGGGCTTCATGGGAATTGAACATGGGCTGAGGACTAGGGTGTAGGTTGAAGGTCAACCAGAAGATTTCTCTGTACAGCAGGACGTGAGTTTGGGCTTTGGATTCAGCTATACTGAATACTGCCTGACGGTCACATCCTAATAGCCTACCACCCCCCACCCCCGAACCTGAACCGCTGCTCAAACCCTGAAGCCACACCGTGCAGGTTTCCTATGTCTAGGGCTCATGCTGGGGAAAATGATTTTTGGTTCAGGCCCCGGTATGCAAAGGTTTCGGACGATGACAAAGTGACCCAGATGATCGTAGTCTAACTGGCAAACGACAGCCTCAAGCGCCCAAGCTTGAAACGCCCTGCTCCGTAAACCTTATGCTCCCAAGTGTCTCAGCCACATATGCAAGTCTGTCCTGAAACTTGAGTCGAAATGAGAAAACAAAGAACCCCTAAATTGTTGAAAGCTGCACGATGCCGATTTACTTGCTTACTTGCTTCCCACTGATTCCGAGCCTGACTGCTCAAAAACCGCTGAGACCGACACCTCCAGTCCAGGACTCTAAATCCTGTATAGAGAGCTGAATTATTGGATTAGCCAGAACAGTGCAAGATACCTTGGCAAGAACATACTGAAATCATAAGAAAGAGCCCCCTCCCCCCCCCCCCCCAACAAAAAAAGTGAGCCATCCCTGAGGTTTAAGTCTAAGCCCTACGCTTCACGGCTTGTAATACCCCGGCCCAGCCTTCTCTGCGCAATCGCCATCTCCTCCGCAGCACACGGCTGTGCCACCGGCATCTGATTCTTTGCTTGGCATTAGCAGGACGCGGACAGAACCTGATCTCGAAACCTGTGGCAAAGCTGATCGAGCCTGATGCAGACAAAGCTGGGAGCAGACAGCATTCAGCTGCTTCCGGAGCCGTGTCGCCGAGCCATGATGGATTGCCCACCATGGCTCGGTTACACGGCTCCGGAAGCAGATGTACGCTGTCTGCTTTCAGCAGCTGAAAGCAGACAGCATGCAGCTGGTTCCAGAGCAGGGCGACTTGGACGTCCCGCTCCAGGTACCACACAAGGGCTTTCGCTGGGCCCTTCTTGTCTGGTAGGGCGCAAGCAACGACTGACCACACCTTGACTTTTAGCCGCTGACTCGTCAAGGCCGAAGGTACTTGCGGTGTCGGCAAGGAGCAGTGTGACTGCTCTTCCGGCGAGGTCAACCGGATAGCAAACCGAAACCATGCGGGTATTACAAGGGTAAGTTAGGCTTTCGAGGTTGAGAGGCTCAGGCGAAGTGTACAAGAATCGGCTCCCCGAACCTGCGGTCTTAGACTACAAGCTGGGGCTGTTCGAGCTTCGAGCCTCAACGGAGTGTGAACTTGAAGACTCTGAGGACAACACGAAGATACAACAGGAATTGCATTCATGCCGCCGATGCTAGCGAGCATACAGAGCTTAGGGACAGGGCCTTAAGGCGCGGGGTGCCCTCTGTTAGCCTACCCAATTTCAGTCTCACAAGCACACACGTCTTTTTCTTGACCTTAGGTCTGGTACAGTGGCTGCACAGACTCTGCCAGTTTGCAGACGGCAGATGCAGGCAGAATGCATGTCGAATCTGAGACACAATGCGGTTGTAGTAGTGCTGGTGAAATACATGAATCGGTGGCTATTGAAAGCTACACAGTATCGTCAGGCTTCCGCTTCCGGGACCACGAAGAGATGGTTGAGCTCACGGCTGGCATCCCATGACCACCCAGTTCTTCACATGGATCTGAGATCTGAGTTAAGGAAATTTACTGGGCACCTCATCCAGACCATCGTCGTTACACAAACAGAATCTAACGCTAGGCTGCTAAGGGTGCCGGTAGCTTTTCTCCTACGTGTTCGCGTGCGAGGCAAGAAGCGGGGATACTGACCTCGAAACACAAAGAAGTGTCGCTAAGCTAACCCATGCATCGCAAAACCGCGAAAACACGATCTCATGGAAACCCAAAACCTGTTTGAATCTGGTGACAGTAACTGTGGCCAGCACTGCGTTCCTGATCACGACCATTATGCGGATCAACACATGAGGCTCGGGGTTCAGAGTTTCGGGACCTGTCCGATCATCATGAACATGCCTTCACAACCACGACCCCAGCACGGAGGGTCCTTGAATTCCATGGCGAGGAATCCACCATTTCAACATTGAGGCTTTTCGGTAGAAGAAGGGACGGCTTTTTGGGGATGTAACAGTGTAGGGTTTAGGAGTCACGTGATTTCGAAAGCTTGGCTTATACACTTTGGGATGAAATAGGTAGGGTTTCTTTGGGCTCAGAGCCGAAGCTCGAAGCTTGGGAGCCAAGCCTTGAGAGGACAGGCTTCCTAAAGTGGTTCTTGAAGGGTTTAGGGTTTAGGGTCTAGAGCTTAGGGCTTAGGGTTTACCTTATAAACATACTCCATTTTTTTTGGGGGGGGTGGGGTGGGTTGGCTGTGGGGTCCCTATGAAGGGTTTTCGGCATTTTCAAGATGCAGCCCCTCAGCTACGGAGAGAGACTCTGAGGACTGGGATCCTGAAAGGCTCCGAAAAAGCCGAAATTTCAGAAAGCACGCTCAAAGCCCGTAATGAACAGAGATCTCAATACCCCTTAGTCATCCTTAGTCAAGGATTATACCTTAAATTATACCGGGCTTCATATTATGATTTAAGGTAGAAGTTGAGAAGCTGCTCCTCAAGCTTGGGGAGCTCGCAGGAGGTTTGAATCGCATGCCTCAGTGGATTCCCAGCGAATGATCTTGGCGCAGAGCTAGGCGTTGCCACGTCTGAGAGGCGCTCCGGTTCAGCTCAAGCATTCAAAGCTTCCATTGAGCCCCTGGCTCAAAGAGAATTGGGGGGCGATGACGAGGGTTTACGGGGCTCAAAGCCTAAGTTTGCAACGATGATGATCAACAGAAGCAATCTGAAGCCAGGAAGTCGCACGAAGACGCGGAATGAGCTCCCAGGACGGGCAACAGAATTCATTGGCATCTCGGGCCCTCTGCCTTTGCAGTCAGGCCGGACTCTTAGGAGCAGCGCGGCACAGGCTAGTCGGCTTCTGTCGTGGGTCTTTTCTAAGCCCTAGCTGCTATGTTCTCGCCATACCTGTGTAGTGGTCGTCGTGGAGGTGGCTGTGGTGGAACTGGAGTTGGAACAGTTGTCTAGTAGTCGTCGTCGCGTTCGCAATGGCAGGAGACCAGGTCTAGAGATCACAGCGTGTTCCAGGAGTAGAACGCCAAACCCAGTGAGATAAATCCAAGGTCCTAAACGTGAAGCGGTCGCATTCGCAACGGTTCGGGTCCGAGACTGCCTAGCTAAAACCAGTCTCCAGTCTCACGGCCTGTACCGTACCACGCATGCTGTGACGAGGGGCGCTATGCCCAATCCCACGTGCAGCAAAAGGGTCCAACGCCCGAGCAAGACTTGGCTGGTCTGCGGGGCCTTGTTTCACAGGAGCCCGCTTTGGAGTATCTGGGCTACCAATCTCCTTTCCCCTTTACCTGATTCTACTTGAATATCTTGAAACTTGGGTCGGCCCCTTTGGAAGAGCTCGAAGGAGCACTCTCTCACGCCACGGGAGGAGTTGTGAAGACCTGACAGTGTTCTGCAGTGCAACAGTGGTGGGTTTGTAAAACAGTTGGCTTCCAAAATCTTAGAAGGGGGGTCTTGGTCTATACTGCGCATTGTATTTAGAGAGGGGATGCCACTACCATATGTTGAGCCGCATTCTTGGCTCGTGGGCTTGATGGTTTAGGACTAGGGTCATAGTGATAGTTACTGATAGTTTCAGAGGCTTCACTTAACCTGAGCCTTCGAGGCTTTCGGGCTTAGAAGACTTCGAGTTCAGGTTTTCAAGACAGGACTTCGGGTGATGCGGGAGTACAGGGCCGGAGATCCAGGGCCCAGGGTTCAGGATATGCAAGCAATGCAAGTGGCACTTCATTATAGGTTCAAAATTGGTTGTCATGTTGAGGATATTGACGGCAAGTGCCCAAAATCGTTCACACTCCAGGCATGTCCATATCGACGCTACTATCTGGGGTTGATGAACGATCTGCTGGTCAGCGAGACGGTCGTTCCAAGAAAACTAAGAACTGTTGTACACACTATGGTCTCTCTTTCTGTCTCTCTCTCTCTCTCTCTCTCTCTTTCTTTCTTGCTCTTTCCTTCTTTCTGTCTCTCTCTCTCTCTCTCTCTCTCTCTCTGTCTCTCTGTTTCGGCATTAGATGCAAGTGAACAGAAAGATGCACCCCAAACGCTAAACAACCCAAAGTCCTCTTGACACGGACTAGTGCACAGTGTACCGAAGCTTCCTAGATGCCTTCCGATCCCTGAGACCCAAACAAATCCAATAGAATGGAACTCGTCTGTTTCGCGTCTGTGTGTGAATGCTCATCAAAGCCCCGACGTGCAGTCCATGAAGCCTGCGGGCATGTGTCGGCATGGCTATTCATGTTCGCCCTACTGCATACTCAAAGGATCATAAAAATTGATATCCAGTAGTCTAGACAGGGCGACGATAGCTTTTGTATTTGCGCATACCCCTTGTCTCGTGCTCAAGTGAACCTGATTTGCCAACGCTCTTTGCAAAACCAGCGGCAGGGCTGGAAGAGCTGCAGCAGAACAGGGAGCCCATGTTCATCCGGTGGTCCTGGCATCAGTATGTCAACAGCAAATTACTACGATCATAAAGATGTATATTTGCACACCTGTATCTACCGACGTATACATATATATATATATGTACGTATACATATACACTAGTATATATACATATTCATGTTACGCTATTGCATTACATCGTATTACATTGCAGTTCAAAACTACATACATACATACATACATACATACATACATACATACATACATACATACATACACACATACATACATACATACATACATACATGTGTTATATGTAAAACTATATTCTATCATGCGGTAGTATCTTCTGTTAGTGTCTATTATCTTACACTTTAATAATACACTATTTATTACTACATATCTATATTACATCACAACTAGTGTTTAGTGTTATGCTCTGGTGGGTTATATCATATTATCTTAAATTTTTATATGCCATAGTATATGGCATCGTATTAATTAACAGCATTATTTGACATATTATTGCATTGTCTTATCGTGCATCCTTTTATATACATTATATGAAATTACACGTGTTATACACATGGATGTTACATGACACTACCACTTGTTCTTCACAGCACATGATGCAATAATATATTACACTATATTCCTGTATATCTACAGTTCATGGCATTATCTTGTAGTCTTTCATAAAACATGGAAAACACCACAGTTATGTGTGTCTTACATGATACTACTATATTCCTCTTTACCATGTAAAGTACTATATTGCATATTGCATGGTATTCTGTTATGCTCTGTTATATAATAAAATGTAACTAAACATACATTGTCATGATATGGTCTTTGATTATGTATTGTCTTGTATAGTGTACAAGTAGGTACAACATATGCTTTACGCATCACAGGTTGGAAAACATATCGTATGTTTTTAATATTACAAGGGGCCCCCGGTATCATATTCGATGTTATATATTACATATTACCTATATTCTGTTATATGCTACTAAGTCTTATACTATACAGTGTTAGACCATATTTTCTTGATTTATGTTTATATACATATATATTCGTATATTAATGCTTTGTTATGATATTGTCTATGTTCAAATGCCTCTCGTTGTGATTATCGTGGTTGCTGTCGGTACTACTGGGAGTGTCAGTTCAACGCTTGTCGTTCAGAATTTGGACAGCTCACACCGGCAGCGGTAAGAGAAGGAGTGGCAGTGGGAGCAGGAGTAGGACAAGAGGTCGGGGTAGGCGTAAGTGTACAAGTTGGAGAACTTAATAATTGGGGGTTATAAAGCCTTCCTGACAACTTGTAAAAATCCCACTGCAAACACACACACACACACACACACTCACTCACTCACACACACACACATGGCATGCACTGAAAGACTTTGTCTATGGATCTCGGTCGATGTTTTTTTCTGGATTGGGAGTTTCAGCTGCAAGCCGGACGACTGCTGAAGGTCACAGCTTCGCGACCCTAAGCTATTCTAAGCCACTTTGAGGCACAGAATGCAGTCCCTTGAACCCTCGATCCACGCCCGACCGTCCTGCCAGTCGATGTGGGGCTTCGTATTTCGGACGTCCGTGGCAGTTATGATAATGCCCGTCTCCTTCCAACTCTACAGCATGGACAGTGCTTTCGTTTGGGAAGTTCCGAATGCAGGAGACTTTTACATCGATCCTACTAGATATAGCACAGCTGAGAACGTTGCTGCCGAAATACTACATGATATGGTGGGCTGCTATTCCTGCCAAGAATGCAGCCACGTCGCTACTCTCACAACAGTATGAACACTGACAAGATTGAACGAGAGCAAATGTGACAACCGCCATGTGGGCACCCAAAGCTTTACCAGATTCCCCTTTTGCTATGCACCGTTTTGGGGACGACATGCCACCTCTGAAAGAAACTGGCACCCCAGTGTCTGGTATTCATAAGTTTGGCGCTAGGTCTTTACCGTTTGTACCTGGGGTTTCGGGTTGAGGCTCACGGTTCGGCGGTGTAGTTGCTGGGTTTAGCGGTTTGGTGCTTGTAATGCTATGCTCTGATGCATGTCTGTATAGGGTTCAGGTGCTTTGAGTTCTGGGTTGAGGCTGGTAGCTGTCGGAGTCTGAAGTTTAGCCTGGGAGTGTGTATGCCAAGGGCGCTGGATTTAAGCGCCATGTGTTCGGAAGCTTCGAAGAAATGAAGTGATGCAGGTTGGGAGCTTTATGCTACAGCTATACGAAGGATTATTGTCACCAAGCATTCAGGACTCTACAGTACATCGCCCGATTGCCTTTCTGGATGTCATTTGTTTTGCGCACGAGTATAGCCAAGCAACACGTTTGAGGACTCATAAACTTCAGACCTTGGAGCCCGAACGTGAAACTAAACAAAAGCACCACATCGAACTCTATCATATAGGATCCTTGAAACCTACACTCCAGACGCTGAAGGGGTCGGTTGCCCTCTAGTCGATCCCCTCCCATCAAGAACGCACTTTTGAGGCGTTTGGCTTCCTCAAACTAAAGGTACGGGGCTCTTGGTAGGTTCCCTGCTGGGTCTTTCGGGGATCCCGATGCTACGGGCCTTGAAAAGGAAGGGTTCTTCATCGTAACACCCTATCAGGTTTAACTTCTTACGAAAACCCGTCAAGAGCCCTAGCAAAGCGGTGTAGACTGGCAGTGCTGAGGGCTGTTCCTCGATAACTCCGTCAAACATGACCTCGAGGATCTTCAACGTCTGGTTGACCTGACTTTCGGCAGTCGCGATTCGGGTTTTCGGGTGTTTAGTGCGTAGGATTTCGGGTGTTTAGGGTTGCGGGGTTGCTTGTAGACTTTGCAGGGTTTGCCGTTGGAAAGGCTGCCGCGCTTTAGGGGTTAAAGCTCTCAACCCTGAGCCTGCAAAACTTAAGGTCCGCAGCAGTGGAGTCTGAATGCGTAACCCTACGCAGCCTTCATCTTGAACCAAATCCTTCAGAGCTCGCAGGTCCATAGATACACTCAAAAGCGTGCTTGGCAATTCTGCATGAATACATCTATATACACATAGAATAAAAATACATGCAGACATATACACACACACACACCTATTTATAGACTGCAGTTATTGTTTCGCACAAGCCTTATGAAAATTGAAGGTACTTTGGAGCCAAGTGGGCCTGGGCTGGCTGTGGGCTTAGGTGAGACAGAGAAAACTTGCTGCAACCACTTAGAGTTGAAGAGTCTTGGGGCTTAAGGCTTGGATCTCGAGCTTATGGGAGTGCTATTCGTCGTTGTAACCCTTCTCCGGCAAGTAAAGCCAAGCCTTCGCAGCGGTTTAGGGAGTGTGGTTGTAGCAATGTCATGCAGAACTTTGGCATTTGGACCCGCGAGGGGTAGGGTAGAGCCCTGGTGGCGAGTTGGCAGCTGCATCGGCACCGCAAGCTCGATGAAGCTTTTCAGGGGTTTGGGCTTGCGGCTTATCCAGTTTAGGGGTCTGCATCACCAAATCCTTTCCTCTCAGCTACAAACCCTGTCCAACGCTGACCCAGAGTCTAATTCCACACCGCAAACGTCTGAACACCCAAGGCCGACGGTCGCTCTATCTGGGTTTCGGGTGAAAGGCTAGGGTTTCAGAAGCATACAGAAGCATACGACGGGCTGGCAAACTCTTAGAGGATTCCAGGATTTCATCAAACCTTCAAGACTTGGTGACATCTCTGCTATATTCCTACAACTTCCCTCTATCCCTCGCTCATATACCAAGACGCAAACACAAAGACATACATTCACACACGCACGCATACGTACATACGTAACTTACACACACACACACACACACACTAAAGTTAGAAATGCACGTGAAAAGGCTTGCTTTCCTATAGCTCAGCAGTATGTTCGGCACGTTCAGCGGTGCTGATTTTCCTAAGCCGCTTCTTGACGCCAGGGGACGATGGACTCGCCATGGACGGCACAGTACGTCTCGAAGTCCTTGCTCCCCAATAAATCACATTCCCAAAGGCTCCATCTTTATAGTAGATACTTAGGCCTTAAAGGGGTCCCTATATGGGTACTTTAAGGCGCATGGAGCCGTAGGGATTTTCGGGGTTCTGTCGCTGCAGTTTTCTAAATCGGCTTTCGGGCATAGAACTTGGTGTCTTGAGTTCGCACTAGCCAGGGGTCTGTCGGACGCATCGCAAACCTCAAGCCTACATCCTTGTGTTTACATTACAGTCTTGCGAATCTCAGCTCCGTTTCATGCAGGGGTCTCAGACAGATTATCATTCACCCAGATCGAGAACAGCATACCACAGGTCCTGGGAAACATACTGCTTTTCGCAGCCGAAGCCGAGAAGCGAGGATCTGTAAACGCTAGACTCCGCTAGAATAAAGCCTACCCCAGGTCTCAAACGGTGAACCCTGAAACCTCACTGCTAAAACACCACGATCCCAGACCCAATAGCAACATCACTGCTCGCAAATCTGAACATGACTGTTGCATTTGCAATCCCGAACTGAAACTAAAGCACACCCCAAACATTCAAGCACAGACCCAGTACCAGTGCTTTGGGGATGTCTGTCATGCAGGGCTTCCGGATCAAGGTTCGAGCGTACAGGGGCTATGTCAGGATTTGGCTGTTGGCGCTTGAGGCTTGGGGGTTGCGGATTGACTTCAGGGTTAGAAGTCCTCGTAGTTGATCCTGCCATCGGCGTCCTCGTCGCAAATGTTGAAGAACTGCATGTACCTACAACTTGCAAGACTGTCGGGTTGTGGGCGGGGGCACGTATCACTTGTATTGTTGCTCAGCCTCCTATGGGCACTGGCAAAATGACCTTGTTGCCACGACCACGACTACCAATGTTCCTGACTTAGTTGTGTGCGAGTGATGTTGCTGAACAGACTGTTGACCATGACGATCACAATGGCGACGATGGTAGTGGGCATTGGAGTTCTTCCTTGCTCGACTGTACAGGTTCGGGTTATTGCGAAAGGTCATCGTTGCATAGCGGCACTGCCAACGTAGGAAACTCTCGTCTTGAGAGACTCCGTGTTGTACAGCACCCTCGCCAACCGGGAAAAATCCATGCACAACTACACGCTTTTGGATGCAAACCTCAGTTGCTGTTCAGGAGCCTCAACAGCTGAGTCTTCCAAGCTCCGAACTCGGACATGGCCAACGTCCGTAGCTGCTGCTCCGCTTCTGCATAAGTGCGCTTGGGATCGTCGTCAACCAACCATAACATCTTCAGCTGCCAGACAAGCTCTGACTTGGTGTTGACGTGAGGGTCCATCACCAGCTTTACCAAGAGTGACACCGACATCTGACACTGAGGCTTGCTGAGCGAGCGCAATACCTTTTCAAGGATGTGCGTACAGTCCTCTATCTGTATCATGTTGCTGCTTCCTGCGGAGTTCACCAAGTCTTCCATACGTGCGAGCGTGCCCTCTGCAATAGCTTGCTGCACGAAAGGGAGGGCATCCGTTGCGTAGTTGTGAAGGACGAGGTGGGCAGCAGCAGCAACGGACGCATCCGCACTCCAGCAGTGCCGCAGCAACCACTGCAGGTTCTTGCCGACAGTGCGGCGAACGTAGCTTTCGGCAAAATGCGTGAAGTCTTTGGATGCAAGGTCCATGCACCAAGACCGACACGCAAAGAACTTCTGCTGCTCGTCATCGCCTTCAAATGCCGAATCGTCGGACAGAAAAGGGTTCACGGAGAACAGCTCTATCTTTCTGGCGAAGTCTTGAACTGCATCTTCAGTCTCCATGCAGCCCATCTCGGCCACGTGCGCTGTCAAGGCCTCCGGGCTTCTTGTGCGTTCGCGGCGGTGGATCTCGTCTTCGGGCGTGGCCGGGCGCTGTAGTGCCAGGAGCTTCGAGTGAATGCGCTTCACGTGCCGGCGACCTTTGCAGTGGCACCGCTCCGGGGTACATGTACATCCCTTGTCTTCCAGCTGCAGCCTTGCTTGGATGCCCGGCGGCAGGCGATTCAGCAGCTCCTCCACGTCGATGTGATTGAATTCTAGCCTCAGCCAGGAGCACATGCTGCCGATCTGCGTCAGTGCTGCTGGGTCTGTTGTCGCCGAGCTGAAGAAATAGGGCTCGTGTCGCCCCTGTGGAGAGGCGGTTGTGCCTCAGGTGCAGCTCCTGTAAGGTCTCGGCATGCTTGTCGATGAAGGCCGCGAGGGGTTCCAAGCACCGTAGGTCGTTGTGGTGCAGGTACACCGCCCTCCGACTGGTCATGCACCATGATCCAGTCGTCAGCATCGCAGCCTTCTTCGTCGCTCTCCTCCTCGGAAGCACATGGTTCTGCCATTGGCATCTTCTCCTCCAAGACCTTTGCCAGAAGCTTGGAGATTAGGTTCTGGTCTGCGTTCCGCTGCTGTTGCAGGTCAAGGATCAGGTTCTGCTGCAGACAAAGTTGCTGGTTGGTCTGTGCCAACTGAACGCAGACAGCATTCAGCTGGTTCCAAAGCAGTGCGAGTTGAACGTCCTGCTCCCAGTACCACACGGGGCCCGCGCTGGGCCAATAATCAGCCATGGCTCGGCGACACGAGCAGATTTCGCACGTGTTTGTGCCGAAAGTCTGCATGCCACCTGCTTTCTCAAGAACTGCCACAGCCTCTCAAACTTCGAAAACTCACCGCAACGCTCCAATTTGCTTCAACTGTTGCTTGGGAAAAAACCAAGGTACTTCTTGGGAACCCGAATTCCCCGGTGTTAACCCAAGTGAGACGTCTCGGAAGGATGTTGAGTCTCCGCACTCGTCGGGAGCAGAGTCTGTGCCGGCTGCAACCTAGGGACAATGTGGGGCTCAATGGGTTGTTCAGTTGATTCATTGCCCCAGGTTTTTCTTCAGGCCTCTAAAGGGTTTGGCCTTTTGACGCTGGGGGATTGAACTCCCCGAATCCGCAGCCTCTAGAAGCGCTTCGCGTGTGCGGGTTTCTGGGTTCAGGGCGTTCTGGCTCGGAGTCCGAATGCAGCCGACTGGGAGTTTCCGAAAATTAGGGGTACCGTATTTGGAGGGCCGTAGAATAAGGATGCTACTATTTAGGGTGCTATATTAGGGTCCCCTATTATCGGAACTCCCAAATGTCAAAACACTCGCTGCCGCAGCTTCCGGATTTCAGCGCAACAACACTTCAAGTCATTTGCGGCCCATGACCTGCTGTCAGATCTTTGATTCAGCGTATTTTATTGGATTTTCAATTATGCTTCCAATTTATTATTGAATGATTATGGCTGCACACAAGTGAACTACGTGAACCGGCATGCGGCATGCGTGCATCGGAGCGCCGCCTGTGATCCCTCTATCCTGCAACTTAGCCCGAACACGCCGCACAAAGCTGGACACATGAAATCAGAAACGCTTAGAGATCCTTATAACGTCACGCCGCTCGCTGCCTGACACTCGCAGACTAGAACCTGGGCTCCTGGCGCTGGACGTGGTCTGCCACGAGGGACGCCTCCACTTCGGGCACTCGAAAGATGCACTGAGGTCATTAATGTCAGGGTTCGTTCCTTTGTTGTATCTCGCTCGAGTGCCTCAGGGTGGAAGAGTCAAGCCGCTTGGGTTGGGGTCTTGCATGCAAATCTAGCGCCGCTCTGTCGACATCTGAACCTCAAATTTTGGCGGTCGGCCATTTATGCTCTTGAGTGGCTTCTGGTTCAAGTAACAGGACGGAAAAGGGTGTGAAGCCAACTCCTTTGTGGTCTGCTAAAGAGCCTGGTGCACATGGAAGAACCACAAACCTCTAAAGACAAAAGGGGACCTGTAATGGAACGTTTGCAGCTCCTGGGAGCGATATGTGTGTCGGGCTGAGACTGAATGGCTACAAACTTGCATCCCGGAATGTCAGATCCCAGGTCCGATAAGCCAAGAAGGATGATGTGCTTTTTAGGGTTCAGGAATGTCGGCGGTTCTCCCACGATTAGGGCTGAATCCGAAAACTGATCAGTTGAACCTTCCCGAGCCTCAGGGCTGCGATCTTTGTTTCCAAGATGCCGCGGAAATCCCCCTTGCGGAGGGGCTTTGGTACTTTCAATCTGCCCTGCGTCTATAACAAAGGGTATAGAGAATTGCGTGGAGGGAAATACTCTCCTGCCACCAGCATCCATGATCTCTGGCCGAGAAAGCCCGAAAGAGCGACGAATAATTGCGAAGACGATTCCAGAGCTGTATTTGAGGTTCTGTTGTTTTGGGGTCCCTCAGCCGTAAACCGTATGTAACGGGGGTTGGGGTGGGCCCAGCTAAGGTTCGGGGATTGGGTCTGCTTGAAGTCCAATGCGGAGTGTATAAAGGTAGGCTGCAAAGTATACCCGGATAGCCTGGAAGTCTGAAAGAAACGGGGGGAGGGGTGAGGGGATTCTACATCAGGGGTCTATACACGAAGGATGTAGAGCAAGGGGTTTCTGGGTTCTTCTTCAGGGAAGTAACTATAAGAAGGACACGCTGTTGCTTGTTATAGAACACTATCATGGTAGGTTGAACTCTTAAGTTCCTAAAAGGAGGGGTTCAAGGGCTAAAGCATCCAAGGCGTGGGGCTTCGGGCTTCATGGAAACATGGACTTGAGGATTATATAGTAGCTAGTAAGGGTGGCTGCACAGGGTATACAGATCTTCAAATTTAGCCAGACCATCACGCTCTAGAATCTAGAACCTGGAACGCTGCTCAAACCCAAAGCCAGACATTGCAGGTTTCCTAGGTCAGGGTCACAATGGACCACTTGCACGTGCAGGCTGACGACGCAACCGTTCAGTCAGCTTTGCTGTGCCGGTATGCAAATGAGTTCTTGTTGACAGGGTGACCGAGATGATTGTAATTAAGCTAAAGGGCAAACGACAGTGTCACAGCGCCCAAACCTCAACCGCCCTGCTCTGCAAACCTCATGCTATTCAGCCTGAAACTTGAGTCGTAGTCACGACACAGAAAACACACTAAACTGGAACACTTCGTCTGAGAAGGAGGGACGGTTGCGCAGATGCAGGGGGACGAGGCTCTGAGCAGGCTGCAGGATGCCCGCTTTACTTGGCTTCAAGGCCCAAAGGGTTCCATGTACTGTTATGGGGAATACTTCCCCAAATCATAATAGTAATTCCTAATATAGAAACCCTACATTCTACTTTTATCGGTACTTTGGACCCTTTGGGAGGTTCAATGTTTAGGGCTTCGGGGCATCGCGCCCAAGGGCCCCAACGCTTATGAGCCATGGCCGAGGAACAAAGAAAGACCCTCGGCCTGATTCCTCTCAGGGTTGGCAACAGTGGAGTTCATCCGAAATTGGGCTCTAGCACCCCGTCTTCAAGTAGGTGCCGTCGCAGGCTGGAGTAAGACACCCTGCTTCACATGCAACCCATGTGTCGCACGAGCGGAAAAGTCTCGAGCCCGACGGCTCAAAAACCGTCAGAGCGACACCACTACTGTAAATCCTGTATGCAGAGCTGAACTCCGCTCTGGAACAGTGGTAATCAAGAACCCATGTATGCCCTTATAAGGATTAAGCCCGACGTTCACCGCTGCAAGGCACAGCCCGGCCTTCTCTGCGTAGCCATCCTGGTTTGAATCGAAGAGTCTGAAGCAAAGCCGTCGCTTTGCCTGCAGTACTGGGGGCTGGGGTTGTGGGCCTTTGGGGCCGTAAACGCTTATGTAGCAGTAAAGCCTAAAACCCCTTATTTAGCTTATGTAGGACTGCGGGTTTAGATTGATGCTTCAGGCTTTGGTGCTTCGGGAAGTGGCTGGGGTTGGGGACCCGTCCCCAACGTCTGCGCCGAGCTGTGGTCGCGGCCAACCAGCGTGACGACCAGCTACAAGCAACACTTTCATTCGCTCGCGGCAAAGTTGAGGACTTCGCAGTTTATAGAGAGGGAGAGAGGGAGAGAGAGGGACAGAGAGCGAGCCAAGGCGGTTTAGGATGGTCTAGCGGAGTCTAGTGTTGAAGGCTCCGGGTGTAAGGTTTCAGTTATGCAGCCCTAAGAGTGCCCAAACCCCGAGGCCCTTTCCCTAAACGCCCAGAACCAGCCTCCATTCCTCCTCGTTTCAACTGTGTGACGAATGTCAAGAACTCCTTCCGGCGAGCCGCAGTCGGGGTACGGCTTACGGTGCATGCACTCTAGTCGGTTGTGGGGTTTTGGAGTTTGAGTTCTGCACCAGATGGTTTCATTCTTCAGCATCTCCAAAAAAACCCTCAAACCATAATGGCTTCCTATGTTATTGGAGATGCTTAGACTGTGGGAAATGGAAGCCCGTCCAGGGCTGGACACGGCTGTAGGGTTTCGCCATCCGTCGAACATCCGTAGATAAAGATTCAAGGTCCTCAAACACATGGCCTTGCATGCTACTCGAAAGTCTAGAGCCACGAAAATCTTGCCCTTAAAAAGTCTTGGACCCGCAATCTGCAGTCCAGCACCCTAATAAGCTGAAGCGATTTGCCCTGCAAAAGTACAGAGCCCTGGACCCAGGACACACCACATACTAGTCAAAACTCCAGCCGCATACTGCTCTTGCTACAGGCATGCTCATTGCGCTGAAACTCCCAGTGTTGCCAGTCTGATGTATTTGGCGCCCTACACGTGCCACTCAACACTGAAACCACGCCCGAACGGCGACCCAAAACGGTCAATCCTTCAAGCCGTGCTCGCTTCCTAGAGCCTAGAACCTTGATTGGAAACACCCTTCCTGGCTGGCAGGGCTAAAGCACACGTGACTCCGAATACCACAGTTAGAGTCCGAAACTCCAATCTGTAGCCATGCGTATAGTTTGCTATGTCCCATGGCTTCACATGGCTTTCCAATCCATAATTAATCGTGCTGGCTCAAGTTGGATGATAAAGAACAAACTGGAACATCACACGTGCTTGCACTTTTGGGCATTTCCTCGTCAGCAGACTTTTCGCCCGTCCTCACACGCATCGAACCCGAACCTTTGAACCCTCCAGAACCGGCAATGCTCCACAACAGAAGCTGAAGCTGCCCGAAAGTCAACTTTTTGGGCTCAGGAGTGTGGGTTCTATGCGTGGGGCGAGAAAACGGCCTCGAAATCGATGATGTTGTCACCATTGAAGTCGATGGCGGAGAAGAGGGCGCGCCAAAGGGGCTGGCAAACTCGAAGAATACTCTACGGAGCCTCGTTAATTACCTGTGTAATGGCTTACTGGGTTTCGGGCGAGGGTCTTGTGGAAAGAGCCGTTTGGGGCGTTGCCTTGGGGCTCAACGCCAAGTGGCGTGGCGTGCTTCTGAGTCTACGCCAAAACACACACAGGGGCAGCCCCAAACCGGGTTATAGGCCCAGGGTTACTTAATCAGGTTCCTACGTATTATTAAAGTATCCTGATAATATTGTAGATCCCTTATAGGAACCCTTACAGTACCTTTATTATAGATTCCTTATAGGAACCTATAGGAACCCTTATAGTGCCCGCAGATCCGAGAAGCCCGAAACTTTAAACGTGGGCACCGAAGCCCGCGACGTTGAAGACTTCCTAAGTCATCTATGTGGGAGTTTCCGAAAATAGGGGATCCTGAAAAGTACCCTAAATACTAGGATCCTTGATAAGCTACCCCTGGTTTCGGAAACTCCCATGTGTTGTTGGAATAAATCCTGAAACCTGAGCCTCGGTCTACGCGTCAAAAGCCCCGAAGCTGCAGAGGCTCTGAATTCCGAAATCCCCCGAGCTCCGAAGCTCAAAAAATGTGTCAGGAGCAGACATCTGCCCAAAGCCATGTTTGAGATACTGTTGATGATACAAATCCTGCATTACCTTAAGGATCCTAAACTATGGGAATAATGGTATGTTCCTTATTATTTGTAATGCAGGATTGATATCATCAACCGTAGTATAGGGGCCTTAACTTGTAGAATAGGGTTTTGGGGCCCGTTACCGTATAAGTATAATAAGGAACCCCCAAAATAGTACTGGTAATTACATAGTCCCCTAAATCATAGTCCCCTGCTATAGATCCCTTGTAGACCCCTTTAAAGTAGCCCCCAAAACAGTATTGGTAACTATTTTAGCCCCTTTAGTAGCCGGGGTCTCTAGGAGCCGCATGATGGGCACCGGAATCCCTACTCCTTTGGCTTCCTCGAAGCAACTGGGAGTGTCAGACAACTAGGGTACCTTGTTTAGAGGTCCTGAAAATAAGGATCCTAGTACTTAGGGTGCAGGGTCCTATATCAGGCTCCCCTATTTTCTGAAACTCCCAATTGGGTTTTTGCGCCTTGTACTGCCGATGGTTCGCAAAGAGGGAGTGAAACTGATTCCTGGAGCCGCAGGTTTTCCGTCTCGGGCCCTTATGCAGGGGCCTCAAAAAATTAGAATAGGGGTTCGAGGGGTTCCTCATTACCGCTATAGTATAATATACACCCAAACCCTACTAAAAATATTCAGGCCCCTATATTTTACAGAAGGAGGCAGAGTCAAGAGAAACCTAACTTCGAAGCTCCCAACACAACCCCGGACCCCTTGCTAGGGATCCCAAAGCCGATTTTATTCAGACTTCAGAACTCCCTGTTGAGGGATAGCATTGGGGTCTGTATGTCATACCCCCCCAAAAAAAGAGCAGTGGCTTGGGGTTCTCCGTAGATCTCAAACTCTCGATCCTTCACCCCAGCTACTTGTGCCTCAGCCGTTTCATGCCGGTGTCCTGTCAAGTGGACAAGATGTCAATGTCGTCGTGTGCAGGCAGAGGTAGAAATAGACCTCCAAAGTGAATGTTGGGAGAAACTGTTATTCCGCTATAGACACCGGCGAACAGTGTCCCCCCACCCACCCTCCCAGGTCTTCAATTCTTCTTACAAGGCTTTAGGGTTTGTTCTGGGATTTTTGTAAAGTTCTTAGAGCATTTAGGGTTGGTTTACTTAAAGGATCATGGGACTTAGTAACTAGGGTTATAATTATATTAAGGTAACTGTACTTATTAAGGAACTTATGACCCTACTTACTAAGTCCCGTGATCCTCCAAGTAGGGGTCCTGGGCTTGGGGCTTGAGGGGATCTTGAAGCTCCGGCTTCTCTCTACAGGCACCCCTTCCTGCGTAGTCCCGTCCCTCAATGATGATGCCACACAATATTATACTATACTGGTACTAGATCCAAATCTACGTATACCTGTAAATATATATATATATATATATATATATATACACACACACACATACAATGTTGATACTCTACTCCGGAAGGATGCAGGCAGCCAGAAAAGCGCCTCTATGATCCGATGACTCCTACACCCGAAAGAGCCAAGGCCTCTCTTTCATCAGGCTACGTGGACTGCGTCAGTAGGGACACCAACGGACGACTACGGCTGCCGCTGCCGACATTGCGTGCCGATGGTTGCAGATCCGACACCTGCTCAAGTATCATTATTCAGCAGCAGCCGCGGTGACGAACGTCCAGATCGTGGTAGCAACACTAGCGAAAGTAGCAGTATCAGAAGGAGAATCAGCAGCAGCAGGAGGAGGAGGAGTAGTAGTAGGAAGAAGAAGAAGCCGGACGCCTGCTTGAGGTTGTAGAGCTCCTCAAAGGATGCCGAATGCCGGGGACGAGGTTCGACCGGGGGTTGTAAGCTGCGAGCTTCGTGCTTGGAACCATAGCCCTTCAACGGGGGCTTTTGTTTGGGGTGGCTCGCCCTTTGACGGTCAAAGTGGACAACTGCTTTGGAAGCATTGAATGAACACGGTTTCAACTCATGTTGTGTTGATTGGGCGTCACAAAAATTCCAATTATGATGCTAGGGTTCCGGTTCTGATGTATTTCGAACCATAAGTACGTAAATGTAATATGGCAACCACAGGACAATGCTGACAAGTACTCGGCGTCTGTATAAAGATGTAGATCCTGCCTTTGCCTCACACTTTCCTTCGAGAACCACTGCCAGAAAAGCCTGATCCAAACTTGACGTTCGGGTTTGGGGCATGCGAGTTTGATGCAAAGACCTTCTTCGTCGAAAGCGAGCTGCCCTCAGCTTGAGGCTTCAGTCTTTGAGCTTCTTCTACAACACACACACTGAAGCAGCACGACGAAGCCTAGTACCACGGTGCAGTATATTCCAACCCCTTACTTCTCCAACACGGAGAGACTGTTTACTCGGTGGTGCAACCGTAAAACCCCAAACCTCATAGCTGCAAACCCCGAACCCCTTAAGAGTACCATCAACATGGAGCCCTTTTCAAGGTTCCTTTAAAGGCTCCTTTAAGGGGATCCTTCAAAGGCTCCTTTAAAGGGCTCCTTGAAAGGATTCCTTTAAGGGTGCCTTCAAACTTTAAGGGCTCCTTTTCAAAACGGCCCCCGCATTTTGAGCCCTAGAACTTCACGAAGCGGGGCCTTGGGACTGAAGGCACCTTGAGCCGCCTCGCGCCAGGAGCCGCAAGGAGCATTCGAAAGGCTTGGAAGGGCTCTTTAAAGGTAAATTTAGGGCTGTTGGGGGTTCAGCACTTAGGGTTTTTTTGGGGGTTTAGGGGATTCTAGGGTTCTGTAGGATTTTGATGAAAGGGTACTTTGCAGGGTTTGAGAGGTTTAGGACATCGGGTTTACGGCTCATGCGTTCGGAGGAAGCTCAATTTCGACCTTTCCGGCTTGGGGGTTTATATAGGGACACGGACAGGTATGCCTGACACGCGCGCCACTCTATGTAGTCCCACAGCCTCATATAGATCCTGAAATAGCCAAATCGCAAAGCAAGCAATGCAGGGGCCTTTATACGTTTTGGGGTATACTATAAACTATAGTATATACAAACATATATAATAAGGACCCCCCCCAAAAAAATAGTGCAGGTAATTATTCGGGCCCCTACATTAGGGCCTTAGGGATGATCACTGAAGCAAGAAGGCTCGGAATCTGCCTGGGGCCCGGTAGGGACTTACGTCTTATGGGCTCCAGGAAGAAGGCCTATGATTGTAGCTGTTTTTTTTGGAGTTTCCGAGAACAGTTGGATCCGAAAAAAAGGTACCCCTTATTATTCTCGGAATCTCCCATATTCTCCGTCAACGAGCCCTCACAACCGCGCGGTAGATTCCAGGCCCTAGATCCTAAATCTTAAGCTGTAATGCCCATCCTAAACCCCGAATCCCCGGACCACAGCCTAAACTCCGTATCCCACCCCAAACAGCGAACCGCAACTCCTTGACCCCGAATCTTCAGCGACTCGAAACCGCTCAACTAAGGCATACTATTGCTGTTGATGTTGTAGAACGGATCCTCAATAGCCCTCGGTTCAAGCATATTGGAGTCTCAGCAATACTAAGCCTTCTCTCCACGATAACCCAACGAAACAAAAGAGCCACCCCTTCTGAAAAGATTGTGTTACCATTCCTGATGTAATCTGTAACGCAGGATTTCTGAAACTCCTAATGGTCCTAATGTTCGTAACCCTAAACCCAGAAAACCCTGCAACCCGAAAGCCTCCGTACTACCACCACGACGACTACTGCCACTAGCACTACCACTACCACTCTTAGTACTAGTACTAGTACTACTACTACTACTACTACTACTACTACTACTACTACTACTACTACTACTACTACTACTAGTACTACTGCTACTACTACTACTACTACTACTACTACTACTACTACTACTACTACTACTACTAACCACTACTATCACCAGTAGCGTTATTGCTATTGCTCTTGCAGGCCTGTCCCTGTAGGGACTGTTGGACTCCCATTGCCTGAGGCAAGCAGGGATCAGATTGGGGCCTGAATGGTAAGATTAGTCTACTTGGTGGTTTCGGGAACCCCCAGAAATACAGAGGTTCAGCTCCGAAGATTCATGTTTGGAGAATTCAGCGTCGTGGAGCGTAGGGGTGCTAATATTTCGGGTTCTGCTTGCTGGCTGTTGGTTTCGGCCTTGTTATTGGTCTCTGGCTGGCTGGAAAGTAGAGTATCGTAAGCAATGGCGTTAGCAAGAAACGATGCATGCGGAGAATAAACCAGCTCAGGTTCTTGGTGTTAGAACTACTTGAACCTCCAAGAAGCGATTCTTTGTACTGTCTTGATATAGACCCCTGTATTGAATTTGCAGGGTCCCTAGAACAAAAACGTCACTTGCTGTACATATCTCAAAGTGATGTGTGGAAGGTGGACGGAACTGCCCGCACTTCCGTGAAAAAAGCTTAACATGTAATCCGCAACGGCTGCAAAGTAGGGGGGTGTTAGGCTTGGGGTTCAGGATGCTGGGGTTCTGGGTTGAGGCAGAAGCCCAGAACAGAAAAATCCTCAGCTCGGGATTGCGGCGCAGAGCTTAGGGCCATATATATATATATATATATATATATGATGGGCCTTAATAATTAGAATAGGGTTTTGGGGCCCATTATACTATGTAGTTCTAGAATCCCCTATAGTACACCGGAATCGAAGCCTCGAACTTCAGCCTAGTAATTAGAACCCTAGTTACTAAGTCCCATGATCCTTTAAGTACCCCACCTTGCCAGGTGCAGCTGCAGCCGCAGCCACGAGCAAGTCAGTGAAAGGGCAACTGGGGCTGAAGGAACCCTACTGTAACCCCAAGCTTTCTGTCAGAGGCTGCGTACCGCCTATAGTTTCAGGGCAGCGTAAGACCAATAAACATCTGGGGTGAAAAGTACATACACTCCCCCGGAGTCACACAAACACAACCCAACTTCACATCTCTTTTAGAGCTATTGTCTTGTACGAAACGCTGATGAGGCTAGGATCAGGGTTGACACTGCTTCGGGTTCCTAGTTGGCCACATAGAGGATTCTGCCTTTTAAGCTTCTTCAGCCTAATGATTGGGATTTCCTTTGCTGTCTGTTTCGGGACTTGTTGGAGCTACCATGCCCAAAATGCCCCGAGCATTAGAAGGACTTGTGGAAAGGCCTTCCAGTGAGCCAAAAGCATGTGGAGCGATGCGTCGACCCCAGTGGAGTATCAAGTACCAGAACACATAGTATCATATATAGTATACTAAACATAATAGGATTTGTAGAAAGCACGTCGTTGTGAAGCGAAGTTTGTCAAGAGCCGCGGTTGTGCTACTCGCAGAACTCTATTCACGGGGGGGGGGGGGGGGGGGGGGGGGGTTGGGAATCACGGTTGAGGGTGACTTGAAACGAAACAACAGCGAGCTATCGTGGTGATGCACCCGCGGCACTGGTACTAAATTGCCATAATGTAGGGCCCTTAAGACCAGAATAAGGTGTTGCCGTATATTGTCTGCTTATCATACGGACCTCCAAGGAGAAGCACTACGAATCAGGCAGGCGCCTGCCTATATAGCAGAGATACGGGGGAAGGGCAAACGGGTGTACAATGAAACACAGAACGTTGGAAAAAGAATGAAGGATGATTGTGCATTGAGGCAGGGTTATGATGATCCAACTTTCCGGCATTTGGGAGTTTCAGACAACTCGGATGCCTTCTCTTTTGGCTCCTCATAATGATACTGATCATCCTCTTATGTAGGGTTCTTATCCATCTTCTGAAGCTCTCATCTGACGTGTCAAAAGAACATGGACCTTTCCTTCCATAGAACTTCCAGGCCCCGGGCCACAAAAGGCTAAGAGATGACCGATGCCATGGATCCAAGAGCCCTGGACCTTAAACCTCAGTACACAACCACAACCCAAGCTCCCAAATTCTAAAAAACTCCGGATTTCGCGGGGCTGCTTTTGAACAATGTACACAGACCAGGCGGTCACAAAGCATGTTCTCGGAAGCTCGGTGGGCGCAGCACCTTTCTTGAAGTTCCTGGCTAGAGTCAGCCTTTCTTCGTAATAGAGGGGCCTTAATCATTACCCATACTATTTTGGGGATTCCTTAAGTACATATAGTATCCTGGGCTCACAAACCTGCCGAGCTTCCTTTTTTGGGGTCCGTGCAGGGTGCGACTCGGTGCAGAGCTTCTGACTCTCAATCACAATCGCCTTCTGGGGCCTCTCTAAACTTTGTATTCTCAATACAGTTATATATATATATATGTATGTATATATATATATACATATCTACAGATTCAGGTGCCCTCTCCTCCGTGGCTTCTGCCCGGTATCGTCCTGCCGGCTGCACAATCGCAAAGCCGATGGCAACTCTTGGAGTTCCGATCGCTTTCTGCTGGGATCTGAGCGCATCCGCAGCTTTCGTTAGAAAAACCTGACGGTAACCTAGTTTGGCGTCCTTATAATAAGGATCCTACTGTAGTAGGGTACTATATTAGGGTCCTTCATATTCGGAAAATTAATTCCATATGAGGGTCCATAGCGGCTTTTTGTTCCGATGATTCTGTTCGCACTCGGACTTAAGCACCACCTTCAACTCCCTAGGGCGTATGGGCGAAGCCGTTCCTTAATCCTGAATCCCAACGAATCAGAGTCTGACCCTAACAAATATTTAAGGTCATTCCTGGAGCTGGCGGTGCGAAAGTTACAAATCACGACATTGGCAGTCCTAAGCCCTAGCACCTGGAAGCCCTTTCTTACTATAAAGTCTTATCTAATTTTCTGGGTATTACTCTTACTCATTTTCTGGGTATTACTCTTACTCCCGCTACTGCTACTGCTCCTGCTACTGCTACTCCTACCACCACTACTACTACTACTACGACGACGACTACTACTACGACGACTACTACTCCTGCCGTTATTGTTATTATTCTTATTATGTCCTTGTTCTTATTATCTGAAGCACGTAATCCTCAACATCAGACCATCTCCAGCAACGGATGCGGATTTGAAAACGACAAGAAATCTGCATGTGGGTTCCGAGATTGTCTTGATAGCATTCATTCCCCACCTAAATCGTACCAAAAAGCTCCATGACATGCCGGAATCTGTGATGGCTTGAGTGCCTTGAGGCTATGATGGGGGATTAAGCGCGCCTCTTCTTGAGGCCATTAGATGGTAACAACAGCTTGCGCAGCTCCTGGATGAATCGACGTGCCCACAAAATCACTGGTATATTCACCAAGAATGGCTCATTGGCTAGCGCCAAGATTTAAGGGGATGGCTTTTTTTACCATGATGGCTTGAAGCTTCTCTGCAGCACCATGTTGCCACCCTGCTGTTCTGACTTCGCCAGGAGTTGCAGTGGTAGTGGTAGCGGTCGTGGCAGTGGTAGTGCAGCAGCAGGAGGAGGAGTGGAAGTAGAGCAGGAGCAGCAGCAGCAGTAGTGGTTTGTGGTATTGGTAATCGAGTAGCACTGGCAGCAGTAGCAGAAGTCGTCGTAGTAGTAGTGGTAGTGGTAGTGGTAGTGGTAGTGGTAGTGGAAGTGGTCGTGGTGGTGGCAGTGGCAGTGGTAGCAGCCAAAGTGCAAGAGCAGTAGCAGTAGCAATTGTAGTAGCCGTCGTCGACGATGTAGTGTCAGTTCTGAGAGGAAGAGGAGGAGGAAGAGGAGGAGAAAGAGGAGGACAAGCAGAAACATGCACCCAATTGCAGGGCTAGCACGGTAGCATCAGCGGCCGAGGCAGCAGGAGCGGCGATAGCGCAGCATTGGTGACAGCAGTAACGAGAGTTGCAGGGAATGGTGTCGTCGTAATGATACTATAGAGGCTGCGATACACAGTGTACAAGACATTAGCAGTAAGAAGTAGCAACAGCCAGACCGATGCGTGCCTGAAAATTGAAAGCAATAGTATTGTATGTCGCATGCGAAAAACGGTGCCAACATACGTGTCAAACATGGGCGAGGCACTCTTTAAAGCCTCAGCCATTACAGCTCTACTATGGTTTCCCCTTAGTTCAGACTCCGAATCGGGCCTCAATTCCTCCACGAAGCACGGACGCAAAAAACCGAAAGACGTAGGCTGTGGTTCGCTGGATCTGGCATTCAGGATTTCTATGACTTGCAGTGGCATGTTCCACACGAAATAATCACATCGCTTGAACATGCTTTGAACATAACTTTCGATACACAAGCCCGCCATCGAATGAACATGCCTTTGCCTTGTCATTCCCAGTTATTTGCAAAAACAACTGCAAAACAAGCTACGACGATCTGCAATGCAACATCAATTTAGAGGCAACCTTGCCGAATAGGAGAACTAAAGCCAGCCAAGAAAAACACCCCAAGAAAAGCCGGTATAGCATCCAGCATCGTAGAACCCACCAGCAAGAAAGCCCAGGAAGCAGAGGACCTAACAAATGACCCATGTACCAATGCCATGGCTCGGGTACAGCCCCCGACCCCTACAACAGTCCATAATAGGGCTACAATTAAGGTCCTAGGATGTCTGTCTTATGAATACTAACTGTTCAACTGCTACAAAGTGGGGGCAGTACCCAAACCATGGCATCTATCCTTAACATCCGTAGAAAAGGATGAGAGCAACTCCTCGTCCGACAGATCTCCGCAACAGAAACTTAGTTGCTGAGTTCATAAGCCCCAAAATCTGTACGGCTTCAGTTTTGTAGTGGGCAACACTACCCCGAAAAGTGTCAAGTGATCCACTCAGCTACTAAGGAAAGCCATACATGATTTATAGGGTTTTGGGCCCCATTGTACGATAATTCTACCAAGGACCCCCCCCAAAATAGTATTATAGTTCCATCTTAATTTAAGCCCTATGGTATGTAACAGAACGTCACATCTGCCGGAAAATCAAGTGCAACAGGGCGTCCACGACCACAGCCCACGCAGAACGACTCCGATCGGAGAGTACGCTTTGAGCAAACTGCGAAGGGAACGTGATGTTTGATATTTTCTTAGTTCGGTGTCTGTGTTGATGCTCTGCGATGCACGGATCAAACTAGCACCGCAGCCGGTTGTTTAGGGTTTAGACTTGTGTGCATGCGCACTTGACGAGTCGTCGCTGGAGGTTTCGGGTGACGAGCTTAGCAGATTATGAACCCAGCTGAAGAAGGTCCGTGACAGGCCCTAGTGGCCAGCAGAATGGCTCATACTAGACTTATGCACAAACAAACCTGTTCATCCCAAGAACTCCCTGACCCCACGCCCTTGTCCACAACAACGCATGCACAGTGTCGTCTGCAGCACGATGGTTAGGATTTCTTTGAGCTGTGGAGAACACATGGGCACGTCCGGAAAGATCTGAAAGCACACAAACAGTGCATAGGTTGCAAAGAAACCAGTAGCTTCCCTTCACCCGCACAGCTCATGCAGGTGCGGCCAGTGCCTCGCGACTGCTTTGACATCGGTGAGGGCTCAGGATATAAGCTTTCAGGGGCCGCTTCCACAAATAGGCTTTGATCTGTTGGCTTTCTAGGCTGCGTTTTCTGCTCCCACTTGCCGGGTGCTACTATGCTTCAAAGAGGTTTCATGAACCAGCAGGGACATGTTGTACTATAACCATGCACGGACTGCGCGCGGATAGTACAACAACTGCCTTACTCAGACCTCCACTGCAGCATTGACCCCATGTGCGGCCGTCTGATCCAACACACGTCTGAGTACGGGAATGGGCTGCCTGAACCCTGTCTTCGAAGCAGTAGCAACAGTTAAGTTAACCCCAAACTCCACAGTCTAAACTTCAGGCTCTTCCTTTCACGGTCAAGGTGCGGTCATTGTGGCCGTGTAGCCGCGCTGCTCCGTCTTCTGCACCATGCGATGGATGCGCTCGCGGACGTTGACCTGGGAGCGCTTCGCCAGGCGCTCAGAATGGTAGTAGTAGTAGTAGTAGCAGCAGCAGCAGGAGGAGTAGTAGTAGTAGTAGTAGTTATAATTGTACCCCATTCCTCCATTCCCTACGAACCAAAGGTAAGTCTAGGGACGGTAGGGTTTAGGGCTTCGGCCTGAGGTTGAGGAGCTTAAGGTTTGGGGGGGTTCGGGGTTCAGGGTGTTCCTGCAACTCCAGAGCTCAAGACCCTAAGAACATCTCGAAGAGTACGATCCATGACTTGGCACGGTTTTTCTGAGCAGCACTTGCCCCACAAACCCTCAACCCAAAGCCAACCTTTCAAGCCCCCGCCCTAACCCGTAAACTCTATAAACCCCGAAATTCCGAAACCCTAACAAGCTCCCACCCTAAACCCGAAACCCCTAAACCCCGAAACCCAAAGAAGCCCCCACCCTAAACCCTACAAACCCCCTATAAACCCTAAAAGCCTAAAACCTAAACCCCCCTACAAGCCCCTATAAACCCCTAAAGGCCCCGAAGAAGTCCCGAAGTTCCATCGGTTTCAAAGACTCTCGGCTCGGGCGCTTTCCCGGCCTGCTCCTCCAAACTTGGTTTCAGGAGGGTGCCTTCGATCCACTTGTCCATCCAAATATTCGCGTTGTCCTCACAAGACAGGACTATTGATACTATGCCTTAAACTACCAAACCCTACCTTTTTTTGTACGAGTAGGTTAAGGTAGATGCTATATCACCTTGCAGTATTTTATGCAACTTTGAACTCTTTTGCATGGTGTTATACTATATCCATAAACGCTTGTACAGAAGATTACAGAAGGGATGTCCTCGGGCAACCACCGTGTCCCTTGACCCGAAGCCCTACAGGCACCGGAGCCTGAATCAAAATTTCCAAACGCTCGTTGCGGTGGCAAGGCATGACAACCCGAAATCCCCCTACTTCAAGGATCATGGGACTTAGTAACTAGGGTTATAATTAAGGTACTTATAACCCTACTTACTCAGTCCCATGATCCTCCAAGTAAACCCTAAACCGTAAACACTTATAGTACCCCTATAGATCCCTCAGAAGGGACCCCTATAACCCTACCCCTAAACCCTGAACCCTGAATCGTAATCGTCCGCTGCGCTCGACAGCGAGGAAGAGGCGATGATGGGGATCGAACACACCGGGGGTTTTCTGCACATCGAGGGATTTGTTGGTGGAGCGTGCTCACAAAAAGGGGTCTTAAATAAAGCACGCCCAGCCACAAACTTAGCCACACACCCTCAACCCTCAAGCCCTAGAGGTTCTCAAGAACAAGATGCGAAAGTCCCAAAGCCCTGACCCCTAAAGTGTTTCTAAGGCTTTGTCTGGCGTTCAAAGGCTTGCGGCCTCATCTAAGCCCCCACACGCAGCAGCCGGGTATTGAAGTCTCCAAAACCCCGACGAAACCCGACTGAATCCCTACACAACCTCTATGAACACCACCTAAACAAACGGCCACCAAACAAGTACCCATACAATCGCCGAAAACCCCGGAATCCGGAACCAAACACCACGTCCAGAATCATTCGGCTAAACCGCCACCCTAAACCCCAAAGCCCTAAAATCTAAACCCATACAAAACCCCCCCCCCGGGAACGCTACAAGTTTAAGACCCCATAAACCTTCTGAAACCAACCCTAAACCCTGTCCAGAATCATCTGGTTGCTGAACCAAAGAGGTGGCAGAACTCGGGCCTGGAATCTTCTACGGATTCCGGGCTCAAGGTTTATTTGTTGAGCGCCTTTTTCCGCCTTGCGGTTGAGGTTAGCAGAATCCGCAAGGTTTAGGGCTTAGGGTTGCTTCTATTTGGGGCTTGTCTTGTAGGGCTTCTTAGTAGTATGCTTTGTTCCTTCATTCAAGTGTGGGGGATTGTCTAAAACAGTAGCAGGTTTTTTTGAAATCTAGGTGTATGCTCTGTTCTTTCGTTAAAGTGTACCTCCTCATTTTGGAAAAATATGATGTTCATTGGGATTCGTATTTCTATAGCCTTGTAGATGGCTTTGGAACGGGGGGTTATCATGTAGGGGGCTATGGCTTGAGGGTATATAACAGTACAATACCAACCAGGAGCCCCCAGGAACAACATTGGAAATTATTCTTGAGCTTTCCATGGATCTAGGGTATTCTTGTTTGCAGGCTAGAAACTTAAACAGAAGCTCCGTAGTAAAGCAGTTATTAGTAGAATTGTTCCTGAGAGTTTCTTACTATGATTAGTAAGTTAAATTATACTACACCATTCAGGCCCCTGCACTCTGACACCCCACAGTATCCCTGGACTGTAGAAGCCCTTCGATGCAGCCCTTTTAGGGGGGCTTGAGTGGTGCATGCCATTGGGGTCGGAGCATAGCATCTCCACCAAAGGCCTATTCCAATCTTCAGGTCCCAACCCCTTGAACCCCCCCGAGAGCAACATTAAAAAGCTCTGTAAGCGGACTTTCAATAGGATATCTAAAGGAACCCTGTTGATGTTGTTGATTGCCGCGTATTCGGTGATTTTCTGGGCAGAGTAAAACCCTCAGGATCTCGCCAGCGAGAGGGCCAGCGGCGCCACAACGAACTCAATGAAGCCAATCTGCGAGGAGTGTTCATGGCTAGAAGCTGAACCCTAAATCGTAAACCCCTACGGGTGGTTGTCAAACTTATGGTCCCTTTTTGGGATCCTTATATTAATACGGCACCTAATATTTAGGGTACCCAAAAAGGGACCCTAACTTTGACCCCCTAAACCCCAACTGGGGATTCGAGCTCTCAGGTTTGGGGAGTTCTTACTTGCTTGGGTTTAGGGTTTAGGGTTTAGGGTTTGGGGTTTAGGGTCTAGGGTTTAGGGTTGAGGGTTTAGGGTTTGAATGTTCTGAGGTTGGACTCTTGGGCTTTGCGGTTGGAGGGCTAACTTCTTTGGGGGGTTCAATGGCATTTGGGGTCTTTGGGGTTTCAGGGCCCCGGGCAGATGCCCCAAGTCCACAGACTCCTGAAAGTCTCAGCGCTGAGACCGCAAAGCTACAAAAGGCCTAAGAGCCTTGAAACCAAAAGCTTGGACCTTAATAATTACCTATACTATTTTGGGGGTTCCTTATAAGAAGTATAGTATAATGGGCCCAAGACCCAATTCTAATTATTAAGGCTCCTGAAGACAAAGGACTTTGACTCTCCCGAACACCTCAAAACAAGCACGCACACCGCCCCAGGGCCCCCGAGTAGCTCGTGTGGGAACCCGAAGCAGTGGGGCCATATCCTTCAACTGCTGCGAGCAAACATGTTGCGGGGATAGTAAGTCATGGCCAATTCTTGAAACAGCAAGCAATGAAGCACCATCGTCAGTTCCGGTTACAAGTAGTCATTCGCATACTTATCTTGATCGAACAAGCCCCCAAGCCCTCCACCACCAGCCTGCGACAGGGGGGTGTTCACCGTGTCTCTGTCATTCAGCGGCCCCATCGGAATGCCCAAAGCCTCATCAGATCAAACACACTTTTTCTGTCTGTCGAGAAAGGGCCTTCCCTTCTTGCTGTTAGGACTGGTCATGTATGGTTCAGTGTTGTACGGCTGTGGGATGTTGTAGGCTTATAGTGCGAACGGTACATTCCGTTCTTGATTTTCTGCTTCAGCATCTTTATCTTTCAGCTTTAAGAGGCATTCCCGCTGCTTCTCCCACTCTGTCGTGCGTCTTGTACCAGAAATCGAAGAAGCTGCAGCCGAGCAGGCATCACAGCAACACAATGGGAGCCGTTTGAGCGTGACACCCTTTTGTAATATACTATAGTGTAACCTAACATAATAATATAATATGGAAAGGTCGCTGTCACTTGCCCGACCAATCTTGGGAAAGCCTCGTCTCCATAAGGTTGTGCGTGCGGCTAGTACTGACCAACACATGATGTTCTAAACGACACCGCCATTCAGAACGCGTTCATCAGCATCGTCATCGCAGTCATTACCGCCAAAACCGTCATGATCATGACTATCATCACCTGACCATCTTCTGCACCTGCACCACTCTGAACAGCAAGCGGATGAGCAGAGGAATAGTACATGCAATATCATCTTGAGACGACGAACAGGTTCTCAGAACTCATAGTGATGACAGGAGTAGCAGTAGCAATGCAGACGGTTGGATTGATAGCCGCCACGAACACAACAGGCCATGGCTTAGGACGTGAGGTTTTGCAGTCTGTCGGGCTGGTGTGAGTTTAGGCTGGGACATTCAGACGAAGACAAATCGCGATGTGGGCAGTTTAATTGAAATCCCTCGCATAATCGCGACAACAATGGAGCTAAAACGCAGCCCTCAGGCCAGAAATCCATAAGAATCCCACCCCGCCAAACCCAAAACAAGCTAACCCCCGATAGTTATAAGCCAACCCCATAACCCATAGTCAGAAACTCTTGAGCTTGTCTCAAAAACCATAGGGCCTCATTCTTAAACCTGTTGCCACAACTCTCCCCGACTCCCCAGGCTCAGAACGGTACGGGAACCCGAGAACACGAAGCGACCTCAGGGCCCTTAACCCCAAAGTCCTGTATCTCAAGGTTCTACATTCCCTGAGAACCCTCAAAGACGGCCGAAGTTCCTGCCACGAAACCCAAATCCTCAGTCCAGGAACTCAAACCCTCGAAAATCCACCACTTCGCACGACGAGCCTGAAATCCTAGAATCCTATAAACCTCAAACCTCCATTAAACCTCGCGCCCCGAAACCCCGAGGCCCCGAACGCTCCAACAAGAACTCCCCTGCCTTCTCCTCGTCTCCCTGGAGAGCGAATTCCTCCAACACCAATGCCGCCCACTTCTCCGCAACGGGGAACGGCCTCAGGTATCCGAGGCTTAGCTGTTGAAGCATTCCAGGCACAGAGTTTGGGGCGATTCGGGCGCATAAAAGGCGGGGCCGTTCTGTGTTGTAACTTCTCGCATCGGGCTTACATGGTGTGGATTCGGGTGACAGGTTCTACAAGCGGGGATCCCAAGCGTGGCCTGGGCGGACCTGTCACGCTTGCTCGACTGGGCTGCTGCATGAGCGTTGCTGCGTTGCTGTTATGGATCCCCAGTTGGAGTAGGGCTCACGAAGGTTGACCTGAATTGCGCAGCATCCCCGTCCCCTCCCCCTCCCCACAAGAGATCTCGGTTTCCTGCTTCATGGGGTTCGAGATATCGCTGAAGTGAAGCAAGACAGTCCTGCAGTTGCGGAGGCAGTTTCGGCTTGGGTCGTTCATGATTCAGCGCTTTCGGTGCCAGAATTTCGAGTTTCGGCAGGCAGAGCTTGGTATTCCCAGCACCAGGTAGTAGGGTAAACCCCGACGGAACTTAGGGCCTTAGGGCGCCTGGGCCTGGAACACTGCCCGGGGTGGGCGTCCTCAGGCTTTTCTTGACGTCGGGCGTCTTGAAATACTCCAGCAGCTCATTCGGAGGGAACTCGTCCATGGTCATGTACCTCGTCACTGGATGTAGAGTCGGAACTCGAGTCGAAAATGCGGAGCGAAGGCAGCCTACACATGGACCAGCATCTGCAGATGGAGGGCGAGCTGTAGGTGCAGCTCTGAGTCAAAAGACCATCATGTCCATCTACGTCTGATCTTCATGACTGCACCCCGCACCCAGACGACACGGAGCCGACAGTAAATCCCAAACCCTTGGTCTAGCCAGACCGAAGTTTAGCGCGCGTGTGGTATGCGGCGCGACGACCGTATGTAGCAGCCTGTGCTGGTCAGCATCTCAGCACGGTTTAGTATGTCCCCCAGGCCCTGTGCTATGTCAGTATTTGAGCCCTGCAAGAACACCATTTAGGACTCCGTGCCTGTATACTAACTTCGCAGCAACAAAGATTCGCTTTGGAGTTCCTACGTAGCTGATTCAACTAGGAGCATGGCAGTTGGTATAGCCCTGCCTGATAAGGTCAAGGCCACAAGGCCCTCAAACCCCAAACCTCCGAACACCGAGGTCTCAGCATCTCATCAGCCATGTCAAAGAGCTCTGCATTCACGCCATACATGGACTCGAACTCCTGCGGCTCTCGTGGAGGCCATCAAAGCTCGGTCTCTAGGGGTTAATATAGGGTCCTTATAATAATTAGAATAGGGTTTTGGGCGCCCATTACACTGTGATTACAATAAGGAGCCCCTAAAATAGTATTGGTTAATTAGGCCGCTATATTCATCGCAATCCTGACTGCAAGGTTCAGGGCTTCCTTTGCGTAGGTGTCTGGCCTCGGGCTCGGGAAGGAGGAGCCTCCGGTGCTTGCATTTACAGGAACCCCCCCCCCCCCTCTCCCTCCTCCCCCCCGCATCATCTTACGCGTGTCGTTGCAGGCCGTGAAAATGATACTTCTGCTTCTGAAGGCTTTTTGATCCGCGATGTCAGCAGACCGGTTGGTCTCCAGAAACCCAAAACTTGAGCAGCCCACTCCAGGCTTCCACTGCTGCAGACCAACAGAATATAGGATTTCGGTGATACTATATAGTGGCGCGCGTATTCAAAATGCCAGGGTTCAATTGAACAAATGCAAGATAGACGACCCAAGCTTTGCGGGTATCTGGCACTTTGAGGCCTGAATGGGTCTCGGGGTATGTTTTCCAGCATGGAGCTAAGGCTAAGGAGTGTTTGGCTTCTGTCTGGAGAAGAGACCAGAAAAGCAACAGATTCACCAAACGTTTCAAAGCCTGCAAAACCTGCCTTCTGCTTCACCCGAAAAACTGCCACCTCCGAAAACGACGGGCAAAGGAGCAGCATGGTTGTTTGGATAGACCAACGTCTGCAAGACTAAGTCAAGCTGATACATACCGCAAAAGTCCAGAACGACAGGCCAGAAACCGAGTGCTCTGCAAGAAGCGCATTTTGGAGGCTTGGATTAATTATGCTCATCCTGTACGGCGCATCGGGCAGCAAAAAGTCCAACAGCCTTTGAAGCTCTTTGGCGACTCTTATGCTGGAGTCCGACACACAGATGAACCGGAGAACAGTGGACCAGTGCGGATTCAGAAAGGTAGAGACTCATCGTGCTGCAGGACAAAATCGTGCAGATACGCACACATGCGCGCACACATGCACAACGCAGCAGAGGAGCGTTCAAAATGGTCCCCGATTGACTAGAATCCGACTGCCATGACTCGCCAAAATTCCCCGAACCCGAACCCGAACCCTAAAGTCCCGAACTCGGCCACCCGGGTCCTTCACCATGCCGGTGTGTTGCTGGCGCAGTGTGCGAACTCTCTCTCCCTCCGCTTTGCTTTCTTCCCTTTCTCCCTCCCTCGCTCGCTTGCCGCTTGTTCTCGCTTGCTCTCGCTTGCTCTCGCTTGCTCTCGGCGCTCTCTCTCTCTCTCTCTCTCTCTCTCTCTCTCTCTCCTGTTCAGCTTGGGTTACTGTACACAATCCCGTAGCCCTGCCCTGCAGCCCAGGGCGTTCAACAGTTCTCCACAAGGAACAGAAGCCTTAGCATGGGAAAAGCCTCACAACTTCCCCCCCGTGAAGCGAGCCTTCGACTCCCAAACACACGTTTTGAGCACCGTGCAAGGCGGTTTTGAGTTCAAAGGCAAAGGTATAGGGTTAAAGCGGGTGATAAGGCACGGGTCCCCCAACTCCTGTCTTGTATCCATTCATAACATTAGCATTGTTGCGTGTGTGCTTTAGTAGTGTGGTTGGTCGTCCTAGAATGACCATCTTTGTTCAGTTCGGCCTGTGTCCTAATGAGCTAGAAGAGTTGGATGAAGGTCTTTGGGCAGAGTCTTAACTTAGGCTGTTGAAAACAAGAAGCAAGATAGGGTTTGCTGGCGTTCGTTTATACGGTTCAGGGTTGAAGAACCTGAATTCCTCATAATTCGAGATTCTCAGGCTGTTGCGGACCTCGGCCTAAAGCAAACGTGTTTTTGGGCTTGGGCCCTTTATCACGATGTGGGTCCTGGGCATAATCATAATGCAGGTTTGGGATCGTGGGTGTGTGTGTGTGTGTGGCGGTTTTGGGTTAAGTACAGATTAGTTGTAGGGTACGACGTACAACAGAGCCAACGCCTGCCAAACGAAGACACCGGATCGAACCGCCCTAGCATTCAACCCGGGAACCAAAAAAAATCGCGCCGGGAACACCGCAAAGTCTGTGGCAAGGATCGCATCGACGATGACGTGGCGGATGTGGTTGTAGACGGGCTGAAGAGGCTTCAGTTCGGGGGTGCCGGGATCTACCTGCCGGTGCCTTTTTTGAGTACTACCCTAAAGCCCCACACCAGTTCATTTTTGTGGTTCATATTTAGAACCCTATAAGGTAGTCTCCAAAAGGAACTACGTTGGGGCCTTAGGGTAGTTGCAAAGTACGTCCTCTGCCTACATATGTCAGCAGTCTCGCCACCGCAACACCCTGAGCGCTAAAGCCACCATCCCAAGCTCTAAATCCCAAATCCTACCTCGGAAACCCCACCTAAACCCCCCCAAAGTAGGTAAAATAATGGCCCAATACCTACAAAAGGCTGTTATTCTGCATACTTTTGGGGTCCAGGTAATGGCCCTAACCTAATGGTTACCCCACAAGACCCATCAAAACTTCAACGATGACCCCCCGCTTAGGTTCCGAACCCTGCAGCCCTAAGGAGCCCCCCAAAGGATACGAAGTCAAGCTACCCAAAGGCCCCAAAGTAGTTCCTTTTGGGGGTTCGTATATAGAATTTTTATTAGGTAGTCCCAAAAAAGAACTACTTTGGGGCCTCTGGCTAGAGAAGAATCTTCCGGAGATATTGTACTACACGTTGCTACCGACAAGAAGGGGTACATCCTTCATGATTTTTCAGACCCCAATATGACAATTCTTTCAAAACCACATAGAACCCTTAAATCGAAATCCTCATAGAATCCATAGAAGTCCCTGGTGAAACTCTTGCTGCCCCCGGACTTGCCTCACTAAGCTCAGAGAGGATGTTCATCTTGTCCTGGCTCTGGGCTTGAGATTTATTGTAGGGGTGGCTTATGGGTTTCGGGCTTGGGTAGGGCTCAGTGGCTTAATCGGTTTAGGGGTCGAGGGCTTTGGGGGTTTTGGGTCAGAGAGCCTCCCGTGGAGGTCTCAGGGTTAAGGGCTCAGGGGCTACGGGGTATTCAAGTTTGTGTTTTCGGACATTGAAGGATTTGGGGTTCAGGGTGTAGGGGTCAGAGACCCTTAACTTACCCTACACCCAGCAAAGTGCCAACCGCCTTTTGAAGCCCCCTCCGAAAAAAAAACGCAGCACTTGCAGACCGCCTGGGATAGGATCTGAAATAGAAGGCTGCAGTGCATGTTCTCGAGGATTGCGATGTCCTTGGTCTCTAATCAAAGCGCACGATTTTTGGGGCTTGACATCGGGTTTGGTGCTGCGGGCTTGGATTGCTTGGGGTTTGGGGTTTAGGCTTGGGCAGAACCTATCAAACATGGGCTACTGCATGCACACTAAGCTTCCATGGTCCCCCCCTCGCTTGTGGATTCAGGGGTTGATTGGCACAAGGGTGCTCAACGAAATTGCGAGGAAACAAGCCGAACCCCAGATGCCGGACATATCGTTCGTCCATACATGCGAGCCAAGAAAGTGCTGAAAAGAAGACCCCCAACCGACCGGGAAACCGAACCCCAATCACCCCGAAGACACAAACTCCCGAGATCAAACACCCCGATGCAAACCCACGCGCCAGGTTTGAACAGACTCGGACAGAGAAGAGCGTAGAGACTCCACCCGAATGGCACCTGTAATCTGCAATGTAAGTAAGCACTGGATGACGAAACAGCATCCTTGAAAAGAAGAACCAGCGCCTGTGCCATCACCATACTACGACACCTACAGCAACGCAGTTGTGTTGCATTGCTTGAGAGACTCTGCGCAGCTGCGAGCTGAGGTAGCAGCATTGTAGCGGATGGCCAGTTCGTGGCCAATCCTGGAAGAATGGTGGTTGTAGCTCTCTGCAGGGTCTAGGGGAATCACACAACCACCTTTTACCCCACAGACTCAACTGGATGCGCTCAGCCGGGGTGTAACACTTGTGGGTTAAGGTATGGCTTGGGATTCTAGACGCTTTCAGATGTAGAGTTCTCCCGAGCTTCGAAACTTGTCGGCCTTTTGCTTAATGCATTGTATGGGGTCCCCCATAGTCACAGTGAAGGGATTCTCCTGAAGTCCAAGCCAAGCCCTGCAACACTAAACACAAAAGCAGGCGGCCCAGACTAACACACCAGCAGAGGCAGGCGTTAAAGAAAAACACAAGTAGACGAAAAAACGATATCTCATCAACTCTCATATTCCCATAGAGTTCGAACCTGGTCACAGATCAGAACATTGAAACCCAACAATTCAACACCACCGCGGCGGCACAAGTGTGGTCTGGAATTTCAGCAACACCCGAAATTGCTTGCGCCCTAGAACAGCCGCAGTATGAGCCTTCTCATAATCTTCAGGCTCCTTAGAAGCTAAGCACGAAACATCCCGTAGATCAACATGAACGACATGATAATATAGGGGCCTTAATAATTAGAATGGGGTTTTGGGGCCCATCATAATACAACTACAGTTAAAAGCCCCAAACCTGTAGAGGAAATTATTAAGGCCCCTATAGAAGTTCAAAGAAGCCCGAAACTGAGGACAGAACCAGGAGGCTCATAATGTCTAGAAAATGACCCCTACTTAAGGTATCAACAAGAAGAACACTCCATCTACCATCATGGGGTGTATATTTACATATATATATATATACATACACACATATATGTATAGGTATACATAAAGCAGTATAGTGATGCATCAGATCATATATACATATAATATACATATATCTATATATATATATATATATAGATATATGTATGTATGTATATATATATATATACCGCACTCATAGCCGAACTGGCTAAGTCCTCCGATCGCTTAGAGAAGCCCTATAAATAGCCGTTTCTGAGGCCCTGGCTCCACCAAGAAGACGTTGCTGCGTCCCCGGTGGCCTTACACGCTCGGCCCGGGTGGCTTTGGGAGTAAAAACAAAGCTCAGGCGCTGTTCGCGGAGAAAGGGGGGGGGGGCATTGGGTTACTTTTTTGTCGGGGTTTAGAGGAAAGATGAGGGTTCGGGGAGTTCAGGATCAGGGCTGTGAGAATAGGGCCTCAAGCCTCCGGGGCAAGTTGTTTAATCCCGAGGATGTGAAGCTTGTGATCAGTGATCTTCTGCAGCTTCAGGTATCTTTGTGCACTTGTGTCATGCTACGTCAGGGTTTAGAACTATTCCTATTCGGTGAGGAATGGGTTAACGGCTAACCGGGCTGTCTCTTTCTCAAGTCCGCAGTCTAAGGGAGGAGGGTGTGGATGCCGTTTGATGGGTTGTCCCACAGTTCCAACGATGCTAAAGTCCTGTAGGGCAGGATGGTGGAGCCCAGGTCTTTGACTGCATGCGAGCATACATGTATATGTGTATGGTGTATATGTAACGTAATGTGTATTTGTGGGATGTATGTACGTACGTATGTACGTATGCATGTACGTACATGTATCTATATGTATGCGGATGTATAAGTTAGATGTCAAAAAACTGCAATATCTCAATTAATTCTTCATGCGAACCCTCTTGGTAAACCACATAAAAACCTGGAACACCCGATAATATTCTAAACCCTCATGGAAACCCTTAGCAATGCAAAACTTTTCCTCAAGAGCCCTGCAGGAAGCGAGAACAGGTGTCTGAATGCTTTGGAAGAGTATTGCCATACACTCCCGAAATGTATGTGTGCATATATGAATATATATATATATATATAGTATGTATATATATATATATATATGTTAAAAGTATAACTATGTGATACTGGCTCCCCGCCACGAAGACAGAAGCTTCAACTTCAGGCCACGGTATAACTCCAAAAGCCCTTCGACTGCGGGGACAGAGAGGTTAGTTTGTTTCAAGGGGCCCATGTCGTGCGCAATGGCAGCCACTAGGAGGCCGAAGCCTGAAATCGTGGGGTCACTTTGGGGACTTGATGGTTTCAGCGTGGGCTGGGTAGGGCGCTGTGAGTTCCCAAGTTAAGGGCACGTTAGAGTTAGAGGGTCCCTTAGGTTTTGGAGTGTTTGCAGAGCTTGGTAGGGTTGCTTAATGAAGTTGGCCGTTTGGGTGCGAAGGGGGTTTAGGCTTCGGTGGTTGGGGGTTCGAGGTGAACGATTTTGGGGTTTTGATGCTTGGGATCGCAGCAAGGGTTTTGGATTCATGGTTGACCTCCATGCCCAGACTCCTTCGTTGCAACTCTCTGGGCCGAAGCCTTTTCCCTCCAACTTCCTCATGATCCAAGGGAACAAGGAGGGACCCTTAATAAGGACCCCTAGGTATATCTCCTTAATATAGCTATTATATACCCATTATATGGCCCATTATAGGGTAGGGGTCCTTATTAAGGGTCCCTCCTTTTCCCTGTTCGGGCTATGAGGGACCTGTTCCGACCCAGCAACCAGCTAGGATTGGAAAGATGGTTTTGTGGAGTAGCACTACGTCGCGGGACGCATAGACTTCTGGGCCAGCCCCTGGAGGCCAACGATTCCTTATTAAGGGTCCCCAAAGCAGCACAAGGGGTCTACGTAGAATTCTCGCAGTGGCCCACCTAGACTCCGTCACTGGAGCTGCCAAGCAAAAGTCGGTTCTTGACCCTCTCAGTTCGTCGCGACGACGGCTGGGAACAAGCTTGGTTGACTCAGGGGCTCTGGGATGCGAGGATCTGAGGAAGAGAGCTTCGAACTTCGGGCTCTGGAGTTAGGGCTTGCTATATGACTCGACGCTTTACCTGCTGTTTTGGAAGGGTCTGGGCATAAAGGTAACATAGGCTTTACTGCTCAGGGCTTAACGGTCGGCAGACTTTTTGGGCTTGGGGCTTGGGGCCTAGCTGCAAGGACCGGATCATGTTGGTAATCAGCACCAGGAACACCGGAAGGCCCAGACGTCCAATACAACAGAGTCGACCGAAAAAGCCGGAAGTCCTGTTTGAGAAGCCTTACACCGTTAAGCCCTGAAAGAAAGATAAGGCAGTTGCATTCGAGATGGCCCAAGTACTGCTCCTGCGCACAAGCTCGGTGGGATAGGATAGGGGCCCCATTATGAGGAAGAGAGGTTGGGGGAAGGTACTATATTACCACCCATAAAGTCATTTGCTATTGCAATCCCTGCTTTGACCAAAAATGCCTTCCACCGACCTCTAGATTAGGATTTGGGCTTGAATGACAAGGCTGGGGGCCTGCACGGCCTTGAAAGGTAGTTCGCAGGGCTTGAGCTGTCAGAAAGTTTGGGATAGTATCGCTTCGGCATCCGTGTTTAAGCTTTAGGGCCGATGCTAGAAGGACCTCGGTTCATCGGTGGAAGGGTCCCAGGCATGATCCCGACCAAACCCTACATGAGTTTCCAAAATGGGGGACCTTAATATAGTACCCTAAATAATAGGATCCCTATTATAAGGACCCGAAATAAGGTACGTAAAAATAAATATAGTAACAACAGTAATGGTAGTAGTAATTCAGTTGATTATAACTTAGCTCGCAGCTTTGAAATCGAAGCGGCCTCCCCACCCCGAAAGAAGCGCAGTGAGGCCCCGACCGCAGCGATCAGGGTCATAATGCGGTAGAGCGTGTACGTTGCATCCACCTAGGCTTCAGGTTTAGGCTTCGAGCGGCACAGCCGAAGGGTAAGCCGAGCCCGATGCAAACAGTCGGAAAGTGCAGAAACAGTTCAGCTGAACCATAACTTTCAGCATGAGCAAAGGATAGAGACGTACTGCATATGTTCTAGCTATGCACGGATGCAAAGGAAAAGCGCGTGTGGGAGAAAACACATCTAATAATATTCACGATCTCGAGACAACCTTTTTGCACGTTCTTCCTCCTTCCCTGCTTCATGCAGCTTAAAACAGCCTGGCACATTCATTCACAGCAAGCCGTCCTCCTCTCGACAAAGTGTCCATCTGTTTGTTTCGCTTTGGGGCATCGGAATTCTGAGGTTCCTGCCGCGTGCAGCCACGTGTGGTAGGGCGCAATCCTGGTCGGGCTTCAAGGGAAACTCTCGGGGCGAGTTCTCCAAGCTGGCAACGCTAGCGTCAAACGAGAGGAGTAATTGAGATCCACATGCTTCGTTACATAGACCCCGAAAGGCTACGAAAGCGCAGCCACAAGGTTCAAGACATCATGTAACGCTTCGACGGGGCGAGCCCTGGATGCTGCTCAACGACCACGGCCACAACCTAGCTCCAGCCCATCAGCCGGAGCCTAGCTTCCCGATAGAAAAGCGGGTCACTGTCCTTTACATTGGTAGCCATAACCCCGTAACCCTCCTCTAGAGGTAACGGTGCTCTGAGTGAGCTTTAACATGTTTGTTTTATCTTGAGCCATGCAGGTCTGGAATAACCCTGTAGGACACTACAAATGGGCTCTCTCGTGAAAGGAAGGTGCTCTGTTCAGAATTTAGAGCTTGGGCTTCGTCTCTCGCCATAAGGGTTCTCATTCTTTAGGGATGCGGGCTTCGGGCTTGTAGGGTTTGGTAAGCTTTCGGATTTGGGGCAGCTCGGGCATTCGGGCCCCGAACCGGTTCTGAGGCATCCGCGCGCCAGAATCGTAGCCGCTTTGGCACTCGTCCAAGAAGTTGCCACAGCCTGGAGAGTCTAGCGGCAGGCCTAGCATTTCGGCACAAGAATCAGGTCCGACTTTGCTTTGGTGTTTCGAGCTTCAGGCGTTTTGTAGTTACTGTAGATGCCTTATAGAACCCTTTAAGGACCCCTTGTAAAGGAGCTCTTTAGGGTGTCCTTGGTGTTGAGACCTTTGCACAAGCCGGCTTAGGCAAAACCTAACCCCTGGAACCTTTACCTAGTTGCTGAGTTCACACGCCCCAAAAAGTCTACACTTTTAGGTTCATACTGGCTAGTATTATCCCAAAAAGTGTACAGTGCATCCACTCAGCTACTAAGTTTATGTTTAAACCAAACCCCCAGAGCCAGAAGAATCCCTTAACCCTCACCCTACAACGATAAACACATCCAAACACCACCTAAAATCGACAACAGGCCGCCAAGTGCAAGGGCAAGGCCTGAAGGTGCCACTGTTCCTCCGCTCGCCTACCCCCCAAGCCGAAAACGCCGGTGGCGAACCCAAACCCTAAGGGTCCAAAGGACCCAGGTTTCGGATAGTAGTTATGTAGGTTACCATTTGGGCGAGTATATGATTATCGGGTACTATAGTACTCGGACCCTTTAGGGAAACCTACAGATCTAAACCAAGAAAGAGGTGAGGCTCCGACGCTCCAGCCATTCCGGGGTCGACAAAGTCTGCAGGGCTTTGCGAGTTCCGGCGCTAGGCTTGCTTCAACAAAGGCTGGAATTTCCGAGCTCAGAGAGGTTCGTAAGTTGTATGCAGCTTATGCTTCGCTTTAAGCAGCAAGCTGAAGTAGAGTGACCCTAACAAGTGGAACAGGTTCGAGTATAGGTTCACGCGTAATCTCCTGTAGATGTATTGGAACTATACATGTGGACGAGGAGGGGATTATACAGCCAACTACCCTTCAAAAGAAGCCGTTGAGCTTTGGCGCGGAGTTGTCAACCTCTGTGATGCCAAACCCTCGGCGCGGACCGGAATCCGAAAGCCGAATCTAAACCCTAAACCATAAAACGCTGAACCCTCACCCCTAGATCGTAAACCTTCGATTGAAAGCCCTACTTAGAGGATCATGGGACTTAGTAACTCCGAATCCTTCTCTGGAGGCCTCAACACAAAAGCCTCTGTTTCTTGAAGCGGGTACTCCTTGATCAGGGGACCTGGAAACTTAGGCGTTCTGCAATACAGCCGAAGGGCCCCTGAGCCCTATAAGACCGAAGTCAATAAAACCCCGCCTACCCTAAAACAGAAAAACAGCCAACTAATTTCCTCAACCCCCCTACGTACGCCAAACACCTTAAACTAAGACCCGAAACTCGATACCCCCATACTCTGAGCCCACTAAGCCCCGAAGCCCTAAGCTGGGGTTTGCGGGGATTAACTACTAGATACAATACTACTACATTCGCAAGGAACCCTAAGGAACGGCGTTTCTCGTTATTCAAGCCCCGCTGAACACGCACTGAACACGCATACCGTGAGCCTCCAGAGGAGAACACTGCATCCCAGACTCTTAAACTCTAAACCAAAGATCCGGTACCCCACGCCCTGAGGCCAGAAGGCCCTATAACCCCTGAACCCTCTCAAAAGGAACCGAGCACGTTCCTACAAAAATACGTCGGAAAAAGGAACCCTGCGGCCTTGTCTCGGATGGAGGTCGCTCTGCGGCTGAAGAGCAAGCAGAGATTCAGATTTTGGCGATCCTGCGGCGGATTGGGGCTTGGTGCTTAGGATTCAGTGGTTCCCGCGGTGGTTTGTTGGGCTACTACTTATAGTGGAATAGTGTTAGAATTACCGTAAGGGCTTGGGTTGGGGTTCAAGGGGTCAGGCTTTAGGCCAGAGGGTTGAAGGCTCGTATGTAAAGGTCTGCGTAATCAATACTGATATTCCCCTTATAGTCCATAACATATTTGTGCATTATTCTCATATACCCTACTCTGAGTGTTTAGGGTGCAGTCAAGGAAACCCAGACTTAGATGTGTTTGCTTCGACAACTTGAAACTAGGCCTTCTCAAGGGCGTTTGGGACCTAGGGTTTGAAGTGGACACCTCCCGATATCAACCCCTCTGCCACGATGAAGTTGCCGTGTGTCGCTTCGCGCACCCGCGGCCCGCGGCCTTGTCGGACAAGTCCACTGTGTCCATCTCCCAAACTTAGCCGCAACATCACGTGAGTCGATTCAAGTACGGGGTGCTTCACTTAGTGAGCAAGGTTGGGCGCAACCTCATTAAATTTGGGGGAATGATGACAAAACTCTCCAAATCTAAAGTTACCTTTTGCTGGAAATGCTCCACCAAGTCCCCTGTAGGGTCCTTTGCTGATCATTAGCAATCGCCTCGTGGCGCGGTTACGTTGAAGGAACTCTCCACAACAAGGTCCAAAAATCTAAACCCTGTGAAGGATATGAAGCGAAAGCAACACAAAGGAACCACAACCATTGTGAACATACAGGGTTTTCTGAGTTCCAGGAAACTCAGAATTTGCGAAGACGTCGATCAGCTTCAGAACTCGGGCTTCATGGGGGACCCTGAGCCCCTCAGAGTTCCTAGCAGTGTCTGGGCCTTCGTAGGTTTTGGGTGTCTTTTTGGATGTGCAGTGTCCGTGACATCTACGACACGTGCAGCTCGGCTCACGGCGTGAAAAGGTGTCCCAGCTGACGCTCACCTGCAACGTGCAGAGCCATACATCCACAGGCTGGTTGGGGGTTTGGGTTGAGGGTTTCTCGGATTTTGAGGTGACCTGTGCTGCAAGTGGGCCATACACTGGCAATTCGCGGTTCGGGATACTCCCAGGACAAAGCAACATCTGGCGGGTACAAGATTTAGATGCTGAAGTCACGGGAAAGGATTACAGGAGCAAGGAGTCGGCTTTCGGCTTGAACAAAGAGGGTTTCCTATGGTTCACTGGGCTTTTACGTAACCAGGGAGAAAAACATGTAAACTGTAAACTTGTATGTCATAATGGTTCCTTTAAGAAAAAACATTAAAGTCTGGTACTCGAAAGCCCAGTTCAAGGTTTACGGTTTTTGAGGTATATGGGGGCTTCCGAAAATAGGGGACCCTTCTATAATAGCACCCTAAATAGTAGGATCCTTATTATAGGGAGCCCAAAATAAGGTACCCCTATTTTTGACAACTACCCATATGGTTTCGTCTCCCTGTGTGACCTTCTGGGTGTAAGTTCCGGGACGGAAGCCTCGAGTCAGTTGGCTTCGGCTTCCAAGGAAGCTCACGCCGCGAGAAACATTCAGGCTTTAAACCGGGGGTTTAGGGTCTATAGGGCTTTTTTGGGGGTTTACGGTTTTTGGGGTCTAGGATTTTGTTGGGTTTAAGTTTAAGATTGATGGGTTTAGGTGTTTAGGGTTTAGGGTATCCCAGGCCCAAGGCTGCTCAGGCCGACAGTCGGAAGTCTCCTTGATAGCAAGCGAAAAAAGGCGGGTGCCTGCTGCATCTTGCTCTCGATGGTGATTGCCAGATCCTGGACCTTTCCCGAAGGGTCCTAATATAGGGACCTTTAAGGGTACCATAAGAGCTCCTTTCAGGACTTTCAGGGATCCATAATAAGGGTTCTATAACGGGTTTAGGGTTTAAGGATCCATGTGCCCAAGTAGTAGCCCAAAGTACCTATATAGGGAATACTTTAAGGCCAAAGTATATACTATTTGTGTGCATGGACCCTTCGGGCGTCAGACACTTCCTCCCAATTCTCAGGACATCGCTCGAAACTATACAGCTTTCAATTTTAAGGGTACCGGCAGACAAAACGAGAGGAGCACAAGGGGAGGGACGGACATGGCAGAATGAATAGCTGGCATTATAGCAAGCTCCTGTGTCACATTCGACGATGACTGCTGCTGAAACTGATATTGCTTTAGCAGATCGCGTTACGTGTATATATATATATAATATATATATATATATGGAATACATGCATGTGTGCGTAGGTATGTTGGTAGGTATGTGGGTATGTAAGCAAGTAAGTTTGCACGTATGTATATATGTATGTATGTAGGGAATGGGGGAATGGACTATGTATGTATGTATGTGTGTATCTATGTGTGTATGTTTGTATGTATGTATGTATGTATGTATGTGTGTAGCATGTATGTGTGTATGTATGCATGTATGTACGTATGTATGTATGATTGTATGTATGTACGTTGGTATGTAGTTAACCAGGTATGAAATTAGGTATGTAAGTGTGTAGGTCTGTGTGTGCGTGTGTGCGCGTGCGCGTGGGGGAGTCATTCCGTCTTGGCTTTCTAGTTGTTGATCACATCCGTATAAGACACGAAGATTCATCCCCCTCTTTGCAGCATCAATACACTGAACCTTTGTGGCCGAGTCTCATTGTATTCTCATCCTGTACAGCCCGAAGTAGAACCCTAAACCCTAAACCCCTAAACCCTAGGGCCTTTAGGGTTGACGGATTTGCTGGGGTTCCGGGGGGTTTCGAGTTGGGCAGCTATTCTAAGGGCCTCGGGCTGAAACAACACACCTTTCGGTTGCTTTCGGGATTCTTGGTATGAGGACCATCACTGGTCTGCGGCAAAACCGGAAGCTCCAAAACCCTTCAAGCGGCTGACAAAACCCTGCAGAATTGCTACAGACCCAAGCCATGCAAGTTAAGGTATCTTCGTTCACAGCCGTGTTGGAGATAGTCGCAGCTACCACAGGTCAGAGGGCCAAAACACCTCGCATGCGCTTTGCTGAGCAACCCACATCGGCTTCCTGCAAACCGGCATCGCTCAAGAGATCCGCATTGATATTCATGACCTGGCTTCAACAGGATCCGGGGTGTACGTACGGTTGGGGTTTAGGCTTTAGGGTTACCCGTTCGAGGGTGTAGGACCACAGTGTAATGGATTCGGGCTACAAGATTCGCAGCCGCAAACGGCTTTAGAGCTTCCAGTGCGGACGTGACAGCATCAAGCCCCGAAGCGTGTAGGAAGCATCCCCAATGGCGAAGATTGCTTCCCAACACCAGGGGGCAAAGAAATCAATAGACCTCCAACACGATACCCACCAACATCCAAGATGCTCCCGTCTTGGTGCTATGTCCCGGTCTATGGCAAAACAGGTGTCAGGTCAGTCCTGCTTATGTGCTATCAGGGCGGGACCGGTGGCTCGGTGGCTCCAGAGACAACACAACACGCAGGAAGGCTCAGATTCCTCGGTCCCAAGCTGTGAACCCAGCTACAAAAACGATTCGAAGAACTCAAAGCACAGCCTCCCCAAAAAAGGCCCACATCCGGAATCCGAAAACCCCCCCCCAGATGCATGAGCGAGTTCCTGAGAATGCACCCGAAAATCGCATCAGACCCGCCCGAGCAGATCCCATAAACCCTAAACCCTTAACCCCACTGCTCGCCTCCCCAAAGGCAGCGTCTGTAGAATAAGCCTGCAGCCTTGGCACAAGGGGACAAAGGGATCGGGAGCCATACAACGCTGGGCTCTTGCTAAGGGATCTAGTTTAAGTTACCACAACAAAGAAACCATATCTTATTTACTATAGATCCCTGTTTATGGTAACTTATATATATATATATATGCATATATATATATACTCCTTAACAGGAACCCCGCATACGATGCCTGCACAGCTAGTCATGCGACTCCTTCAGGCAGAAGCACGATATACATGTCGCAGCTTCCCAAAGATCTAAGACACGCCCGCCTCTGAAGGTCCGGATGCCGAGTCCAAGCTACAAAAAATGGGGATTTGTGACGCGAGAATGTGAAGCTTCGAAAGGCCTGACCCTAAGCCACAGCCCGCAGTCCACCTGCGAGTTTCCGAAAATAAGGGACCCTAATGTAGTACCCTAAATAGTAGGATGCTTATTATAGGATCCCCAAAATAAGGTACCCCTATTTTCGGAAACTCCCAATTTGGCAGTTTGAAGGAAGGAGGCCTCGAGAAAGACACGAAAACAGGACGTGAGAGGCGGACCTTGGGGATGACCCCGGGTACCTATTTTCAAATCTTCCTGTTTGGGGGTCCTAAATAATAAGGATCCTACTATTCTTGGTACTATATTCGGGTCCCCTATTTTCGAATCTTTTTTGGGGTTGAGAAGACTACCCTACAAGCACCTAGACAATGGCAGTTAAAGGTAGCCAGCCCTCCCAAAACCGAGGAGTTCGGTGGGGGGGTGCTCTCGTCCCTCCCACGTCCGTCGCTTCCTTGGGCCGCGGCCACATAAGATCACCACCAGCGCCCAACCTTCCAGAGTTGAACAGTATATGGGTAGTCGTCAAAATTGTGGCCCCTTTTGGGGGGTACCCTAAATATTAGGTGCCGTATTATAATAAGGACCCAAAAATTATTAGGGACCCGAATGTTGACAAACACCCATATAATAGGGCCAGGATGTCCTTTGGCGGTGGTAGCTCACTCTAGAGGGCTCAGCAACCCCGTAAATCGTGAGTACTTGGCATACCAAGCAAGGCTCCTTCCATAACTTAAGGTATAGTCCTGCACACGAGGCGACGCTGAAATTGGAACATCCCTCCTTGCATGCCTGTCAGTAGTAGCGGAACGTTCTAGGGGAAGTCAGACAAGCTTGATGGTACCGAGGATTTCGGGCTGCACGCATTTTTGGTTTTGCAAAGCCTTGACAGTAAACAGGGAATTACCAGAACCCGGAAGCCTATCTTTTAACAACCCCAAACCTGAAACTATTAAACCGTCAATCCTCAACTCTTTCTTCCGAGGCCGGGCAGTGCTCGAAGAATGAACTAGTAACTAGTTCAAAGGGGAAAAGGAGGGACCCTTAATGGGGACCCCTACCCTATAATGGGCTATATAATGGGTATGTAATAGCTATATTAAGGGTATATTACCTAGGGGTCCTTATTAAGGGTCCCTCCTTTTCCCCTAGGGGACTAGTACATGTTCAGCACAGGCAGCGGCAATGGAAAAGCCATGAGGTATGATGTAGACTGTAGGCCCTGAACAGAACCTTCTCTTGAGGAGCCTTAACAAGCAGCCTATTCAGGAAAGGAGGTGGCTAGTCAGGGCTTGAAGTAATTACGTACATCATCTGTCCTAGGCAATCTAATCAATCATGTGCTTTTGATGAGCAAAGCTCCGCAAGCCAGGTGGGAGTTGCAGAACAGAATGCGGCCTCTTCAAGGAGTCTGAATCGATCGGCGACTTCTTGACTGTGATCTTACCTGGAATTTCGGGGGCGCTCTTGGCTCTTAGTTTTGGCCATGACTTTTCGGATTCGAAGCTTACGGTCCTGAGCACCGTGTATCTGGAGTTTTCGAATCCCACAAGCGAAGCCTGACTCCCCCAACATCAAGAACTCCAAACTCTTGGGGCGTACACTGACAAACTCAATGAGTGACAGGTACAAACCTTCTATTGTAGAGGCCTGAATAAATACCAATGTCATTCTGTTGGATTGTTGGAAAAGTTCCGGTGAATCATTACACGATGTCGGAAGTTGAGAAAATTTGAGCTTGTTGGGATCCCAACTGCCCTCACGGTTTTGAGAAGAAAGCGCGTTGATGTAGGAAGGACCAAGATTTTTGAATTACAGGTTCGCGGCTCCGGAAAGTTGCAAAGTCCAGGTCTTTAGAGTTCATGGTGTAAGACTTGACTTCTCGGCACTTATTTTGGTTGCTCTTACAGAAGCATCCCCTAAAACTCTGAACCCCTCAACCCTAAACCCCAAACCTTACAAACCTCCTTGAAAACAGCCAGAGGCCCCTTTGGTTAGTAGGGAATGGAAGAATGGTAGTAATAGTTTTTTTTACTTGTATCCCATTCCTCCATTCCCTACTAACCAAGGGTAAGTGAATGGGCTTCATAAGCCCAAACCCGAAGAGCCTTCAAGGGGCGCCATAGTAAAAGTCTCGCTGCAACATGGGCCGGTTATCGATACGGGGATCTAATCTAGGAGCCTTCATAACTAGAATATGGGTTTTGGGGGTATATTATACTATAGTTAGAATGAGGAACCCCAAAAATAGTATTTAGGCCCCTAGCTTACAGAAGTTCTTTGAGGCCGCTGCTTAGAGCAATGACCTTCTTCAGCGTCTGGCGGCACAGGAGCGGTAGGTGCGGGGTGGGTGGGGGGGGGGGGGGTAAAACTTCCTCACGCGTTTTGGCCGGCCGATCTGTGTGTTACGGTAGGGATGCAGAGCTTCAGTAGATGCCTTCTCAATTTCAGATTCCATGATACTGCATATACAGCTTAGCAAAAACCCCAAGCCCAACCCCCAAAAAGGGAGCTCTAACACCTCAAAGGGTACAGCCTAAAGGCCGAAGGCCCGGAGTATTTCCCGACCAGAAAAAGCTTCTTGGCTTGGAGTGCTTTTGCGAATTGGGGCTTTGCGGTTAAGGTCTTGGGTTCAGGGATTCGGGGCTCGAGGGGTTACAGGCTGAGGATCGATCTTCCTCCAGCTGAATCACCAACTCTTGTAAGCAACCAGCACGAATCTGATGTCCCTGAAACTGACATACAAAGGAATTAGGACAAGTCTTCCTTGGTAGTGTAGCGCAACAATAAGAATCACGACGAGCCCACTTTAACGGTATATAGGCTCACGATAGCAGCCCGATTGCCTGGTCCAACAACCGTGTCTCGGTGCCGAATGCATCCGCACTGTCGCGGTGCTCGTCGTCCTGTCTCTATCGGAACCCGAAGGGGAACTCGAAGGGAGTCTTCCTGCTTTGAATCGGGTCTTTGCAGCTTTGCATGGTCTGCAGTTGCTGTTTAAGCCTTTGTTTTGTTGGTGAACATTCACGGAGTTTGGTGCAAATGCCAGCCATCCATTTTTTTGTTCGAGCCGCTTGAACGATCAATCGTACGAAGTCTCTAACCACCAATGCGATTATCTCGGCCCGTATATGTGGTTGATTCTTGGGGCATAATGGGTCTGGGCTACAGAAATCCAATACCTTGATCAACGTTTGTGGTGTTGCCCATCCCACAGACCCCAATCCTGGAGCTGAAGTGAATTGAAGGCATCATGCTCGGCATCTCTCCCTCAACACGTATGTATGTAAATGTATGTATGTATATGTATTGTATATGTGTATGCACCTTAACTATGTCTATGTGTATGGAACTAAGTGTTCTGGAAATACAGAAAGACATGGCGACCTGTCTTGTCTATAACAACTCCGGAAAGTACATGTTCTTCGTGAACTGATGGTACGCGTGCCGACTTAAACTCACACCGCATGTTATACATCAGCTGTGTACGAGCGCACATGTATACAGTATTGTCCATGCAGGCACAGCCATGTCAGTCTGCAGAGAGCAAGCGGGAAAAAACAACTCAGAAACCACGACATCCTGCTATGTCCCTTGTCAAGTTTCTCAAGCACCCACCTATCACCTGAATATGCAGGCTCGAATTGCCCACACTGCTGCGCCGCAAACCCTCAACACCCGAAACCCTATACCGCCGGGAGTCATCCGAAGCCAAACGTTTTGAGTAAAAGCAACAGGTTGCGGCTTAGGCTTAGGCATCCAAGTCTGAACCCAACTACTTCCCGACAACCTCGTCTGTCGCCGCCATTGAGTGTTGCGTACCCAAGGCTGCCATCTGGCACGAGGCTTGCATCGGCTTCGAAGAAATCGCACGGCTCGACACGCGAGCTTTTGGCTCCGGGTTTCGCTCCTTTTGGGCCTAAACCTCAATGAACCCGGAAACCAAATCCCACCCAGGCCCTGACCTAGCTTCCTGGCTTTATGCCTGGCTGTATTTCAAAGTACTTTCCGTAGTAATCATGAAACAAAAACCAGTGGGACTACAGTACACGCATCAAAGTTAGGTCCCTTTTTGGGTACCCTAAATATCAGGTAAGAGTTTCGGCATGCGCAGACTGCAGCAGGAGGAAAGTGCGTCGTACCCTCGCATGACAGTCTTGATCCTCCTCCACAGTCCTCCGGCCGGAACACTACAGTAGTGCAGGGCGCAGGCTACAGTTTTACGCCGGTGGATTTATGCATCCCCTCGCCAGGCCACGTAAAATGCACATTTCGGTACCACGGTTTCCACGAGACTTTAATGCTAGCGATGCAAAGCCCCAAATCCCAATTCTAACCTATACCCCCCTTAGAACCATAATAATGTTGACCTAGGATTAATAATCCCCCTACGATTAAAGGCGGCCTGCGGGCGGCTCCGGCCCCAATCTGTACTACTTTAAAGGCAGCACCCAAATAAGGATCGTTTTTGCAGAAAACCCCCACGATTAAAGGCAACATCGTCTGGGGATCTATAATTTCAAAAAGTGCTTCGAAGACTACTTTTAAAGGGGGCAAGACTTGGTCTAGGCCTAAACCCTTCCCCGATATTAAACTTGAAACCTCATTGGCCCCAAAACCGCTTCACGTTTTAATCCTCCAAAGTGGTGATTTCAACACTACTTGCTGTGTCGTTCCAAGCCCCCAAACAAGCTGTTTGAGCTATCCCCAGCAATCGTGTGTCACCCACGATTAATCAACGTCCCACGATTAATCAAACTCCTGTGGCACTGCTACTGCTACTGCTGCTGCTACTGCCACTGCTAGTACTGCTGCTACTACGACTACTACTACTAGCACCACTGTTTACTGCAATTTGGCTTCACGGGATTATTTGGGGGTCTGTGATCCTGTGGGGGGCCTGCGACCTTGACAACCTTGAGGGGGGGGGGGGCGGGGGGGGGGTTTATTAATCAGGGGTCAACATTAACAATGTTATGTCTAATATTCTCTTGGGTTTTATATGAACAAAAATAGGATAATAATTCTCTAGAAACGATAAACCCGAAACCCGAAGACTGGAGCGGAAGCGCGCGGGCGTTCGGGTTCGGCAAGCACCGAGGCACCACAGCGACCCTATGCCTTGCGACCTACTCTGCCATGGAGTAAACCCTGAAGCCTGAATCCCCAAAATCCCCAAACATGGAGCCGATGAAAGAAGGATGCAATGGTCAAATCTATGCAGTATCAACCCATGGTTCCTAAACCCTGACGCTAAGCCCTACAACCCTAAACCCTAAACCCCTAAACCCTAGCCCCCAAACCCGTAAACACCGGAACCCTAAACTCCTAAACCCTGAAGCCCCGGACAGTATCGGGGCCCGGGCCGATTTAAAGATGTTCGCCGCCATGTGATGCACATGATCTAGCAGCGCCCTGAGAATCGATGTGGGTTATGGGCCACATGGAAGTTTCCCAAAACTGGGTACCCTAATATAGTACCCTACCAAGTAGGATCCTCATAAAAATGATCCCCAAAATACGGTACCCCCTGTTTTCGGAAACTCCCACATGGGTTTGGGGATTTCGTCAACCCTTTAAAAATTAAACCCCAAATCCCAAGCCCCAACGCTTTTTAAAGCTCCTTGAGTCTTTGGAGGTCGTGGCTTCGGGATAAGGGGTCTGATCCTCCGAGTCTCGCCATTTAGGGGTCGACATTGTTTGTTTCTTCTGTTTTTTTACGTCAGGCTCTGGTGACAAGGTTCGTGCGGTAAGACATCAGCGGAAACGCTCGTAGAATCCAGTTTGCATCCAGGAGAGGGCCCTCAACTCCCAGCTCGATAACACCATCTCAACCCGACAAGACCCGGAACTTCCGAGTCTGTGACTGCAAGGGGTGAGCGCTTTTTGAGAAAGAGAGAGAGCGAGCCTCTGGAACGGCAGACACCTTCCAGCTCCGCAAACCCTAAAACCCAAAACCTCTTAAGCAAGGGAAGCTTGCTTTCTGAAGAAGCCCGGGAGCTCCGGAAACGCAGAGTCGCCGGCTCCAGGGGTGTCAGCACTATGTGAGTCACCGTGTTGGAGAGGAAAAGCGCTGAAATTACCATCCTGGCAGGCATGGAATAGAGGGGCCTGAAAGGAAAAGAAGAGGGTCTTGGGGTGAAGAATGGTAGAAGTAGATAGGGACATTCGGGGCGATGTCTTTGTAGATGTGAAGGCTGCAAGGTCGAAGGTCTGACATGCGAGGGCATCACTAGACCTTAGTTCCGTACCCATGTGTCAGGCTTTAACATCGGGCATTCAGAGACGATGGCTTTCCGGCTAAGAGAGAAGTTCAGGCATCACCTGGTCCCCCTCAACCCGTCAAATGGCCGCACTTGCACACTTCCCTCGATCCAATGAGGCCGGCAAGGCAGTAAAACTATTGTTACCTCAGTGGAGGAGCTGGCAAAAAGAGGGGTGCTTGGTTGCTTTGATCGTGGCAGATCAGATTTGAAACTCAGGTCTGGGCAGTTTAGGGTTACCCGGATCCCCAACACCTATACCGACACATGAGGGATCAGTAATGTTTATAAACGTAGGCTAGCATGCCTTCTACCCGTTGAAGGTCGGGTGGGTCAAAGGGACCCTACAGCCTTTGGACCTTTTACCACCAAAGTCTACATTTGTCTCAGTTTCGGGTAGAGTCGTGTTGGATGAGAGAGGTCGGGATCTTTCGTTCAAGACCTGCCCGGGCCCTTTTGAAAGGTTCCTAGAGGGGTTCCTTTCAGGCTTCTAGTTCATTGTTGGGATAAGAATAAAAATGTACATTTTTATTCCTTATTGGGTTTAAATACCCATAAAAGTTTAACACGTTACCCAACTATGACAAAGGGTTTAGCCGTTGCTTTATCGGCTTCTGGAATAGGCGGCTGTTCCAAATTAGTGGCTCCTTTGCCTGATCCTTACTCCAGTTAGGTTATATAATGGACGCGCTCAAAATGGCGAACAACGCCCACTCACATCTGTCTCGAGATGACTAAGACCCCAATGGCTACGCTTCAAGCCCAACTCTGAACGCCTGACCAGAAACATGCCCCGATGCCTCTTGGAACAAGAAGTGGCATAAGGTAGGAACCTGATTAAGAGACCTTGGGCCCTTATTAGGTTTCCTTGTATGAATCCTACTATTTTGGGGTATAGGCCCAGGGTTTCTTAATCAGTACATTACCAAGGACCCGGCAATCAAGAGACAATTGCAAATCGAGTCGACCTTGCATGAAGCTTTACGAGGTTTGAGGCTCTGGGGCTCACCGAGCAACGAGTTAAAAAAAAAACAAAGAGTAACAGTCTACAGTAAACCCCATAAAGATTGAAACCGGATGAGGGCCAAATAGTGCTGGGATTCCCCATATTTTACTCTTCAGGATTGAGGCTATTGGGTTTCCAACTCTTGGGCTTCTACTGTATAATAGGGCTACTATGAAGGGCCCAATATGTCTATGCTATGAATATTATTCAACACTTTATTGATTTGGGGCAGTACTCGAAGTATGTGGGTACTTGAGTGTAATAAGTAAGGAGTGTGATGAATGTCTCAGCTCCCTTTAACCCTCAAAAAGGAAAACAAAGACAATGGCCCTGCTCTCACGGTTCGATCTGCAGGGAGACACGGCACTTAAAAGGGTATAGCGGCACTACTGCCTGGCTGGACATGTTCTGTTCCTGGACACCTTGAGGTACACTTCCCTGGACGATAAGACTTCTCTGAGGGCTCCTGCTCCAAGGTTCAGGGTTATAGAGGTAGTTCTCTAAATTAGGGTCCGTTTTTGGGTGCCCTAAATATTGGGTGCCGTTTTGTAATAAGGAGCCAGAAAGGGACCACAGTTTTGACAACCACCCATTTTAGAGGGGCCGCGATCACTGTGAGAGGGGTTTGGAGTACTTCTTAGCGTACGTTCGGGAACGCTCAGGAATACTGTTACGAGTTAATGATACTGTAAGGTTTGCAACCCCGAACGCTTAAACCCCTAAACCCTTGAACCCTTGCAGGATCAGGCTTAGGGTTCGCATTTTCTGGCGATGATGCTGTGGGAGTTTTCCGAAAATAGGGGACCCGAAAATAGCAACCTAAAGAGTAGTATCCTTATTATAAGGACCCTTAAAGAAGGCACCCCTAATTTCAGGATCCTTATGATAAGGACCCTAAAAAGAAGGTACCCCTAATTTTAGGATCCTTACTATAAGGACCCTAAAAAAAGGTACCCCTCATTATTGCGGAAACTCCCATGTTCCAGGACCCTCCTTGTACCCTCAAATAGGGGTATATGGTCCCAAATAAGGGGCATTTAGGGTCTAATAGAGGGTAGATGGAGGGTCCACCCTAAACCCTAAAGTTTAGGTTTAGGGCCTAAACCCTAAACCCGAAACCCTAAACCCTAAACCCATGTTGACTTCCAGGCATCAGGCCTTCCACGTAGGGCACCGGTCCGAGGGTTAAGGCTCCGACCCCAACCCTTTTGGACTCAAACGGGTTTCTATAAGGGATCTAGAATGTAAGGGTACTATAATAAGCATAAGGGTTCCTATAAGGGATCTATAATATAAGGATACTATAATCATATGTAGGAACCTGATTAAGAAACCTTGGGCCTTTATTCGGGCTCCTCATCTGAATCCTACTATTTTGGGGAAGTAGGCCCAGGGTTTCGTAATCCGGTTCCTACATTAAACCGGGTTTAACAAACATGAAACGTGTTTCCTAAGGAAGGACCCAGATCTTGAGGTTAGGATGGGAAGGCTGGTGCTCACTCATTCTCTAAGCAAGTATACGGCCTAGAACTACTCTAAACACTGCCCTACAACCTTTGCAGCTAG